GATTCAGTTGCTTTGCTTTGATTCGGTTGCTTTGCTTCGATTCAGTTGCTTTGCTTCGATTCGGTTGCTTTGCTTCGTCGTTGCTTTGCTGCGATTCATTGCTTTGCTCCTGCCGCGATTCATTGCTTCGCTTCATTGCTTTGCTTCATTGCTTCGATTCGGTTGCTTTGCGTCGATTCATTGCTTTGCGTCGATTCATTGCTTTGCTTCGATGCGGCGTTGCTTTGCTTTGGTTGCTTTGCTTCGATGCGGCGTTGCTTCGATGCGGCGTTGCTTCGATGCGGCGTTGCTTTGCTTTGGTTGCTTTGCTTCGATGCGGCGTTGCTTCGATGCGGCGTTGCTTCGATGCGTTGCTTCATTGCTTTGCTTCATTGCTTTGATTCATCGCCTTGCTTTGATTCATTGCTTCGGTTGCTTTGCTTCGATTCGTTGCTTTGCTTTGGTTGMTTTGCTTCGATGCGGCGTTGCTTTGCTTTGATTCGTTGCTTCGATGCGGCGTTGCTTTGCTTTGATCGTTCGTTGCTTCGATGCGGCGTTGCTTCGATGCGGCGTTGCTTCGATGTGTTGCTTCGATGCGTTGCTTCGATGCGTTGCTTCGATGCGTTGCTTTTGCTTGATTAAAATAGTATGTTAACTGTGACTGCTTGTTCTTGTTAGTAGTATTGTTAGTAGTAACTGTGACTGCTTTTTTGCTTGATTGCCTCAACAAGAGGAGCAAGTTGAATAGCTGATAAGAAGATTGCACCACCATTGTCATTGTTGTGATCGTCGGTTGTTGAGAATTACCTTCACGATTTGTGTTTTTTTCATAGAATTTGCCTTGTCGAAAATTGTGTCAGTTTTTCCTCCCAACTGACACCCATCAGTTGGGGGATTTCGATACTGTGCTGGTGAGTAGGATAATAGCGAAGTGTACGTACGTAGACTTGTACATGATTCTATACTGTTGCAAAATTTGTTGCATTATTGATTGGTACCTGCATGGTACCTTACGGCTAGTGACGAGAACGTATCGTATGTAAGCAGTAAGCATTCGAACTGAAAATCTGGAAGTTTAGACTCGCGCACTGTAACTTAGCTTCGCGACGAGGTTTTCGTACGGTCAAAAGGCCCTCAAACCTCAAACAAACAGTGAGAGGTGAGAGTACGTATAGTAGTACGGTAAGGTACGTACCTACTCGTAATGGAATGATGTTGTAATATTCCTACAGTATTTTGGGTACGTTCTAGTACGTACCGAAGTAGAAGTACTAGTACCATAATCAGTTCAAAATCAGTCATCGTGCTCATGTGGGAACGTTTTGTTGTGTCCATGTTGGATATGAGTTCCAACAGAATCGACTTTCAGATAGTCAACTAGATCACCGCCAGCCGTCGCTCTCAATCAACCGGAGGTCGACGACATTTCTATCACTGAATACAAACTTATGAACAGGGAGCAGAACATGAACTGCTTGCGAAATTTTGTATCGAACAGGAGGAAGAGACAGCACTCCGCAGTTTGCAATGTTCGACGAGGACTCGTCCTACAGCATTTATTGCTCTCGTTCTTGATCGTGGCATTGTCAAACTTTTACGCTGTTGACGCCTCGTACGCAATAAGCATCGAGCCCCAGAGCGAAGAGTGCTTTATTTTTATGACACCTAGTTCGATCAATCCTTTCTCCGCATTCTCGTGAGTGACGAATAGAATCAAAACATCAAGTCGTGCGTTTAAGCTTGTATTCATATTCGGTTGGCTTTGAGTATGCATTGCATTGTCATTTGACGCGCAAGAACCTCCGTACCGACTGAACCCTGCTTTTGAAAATCGATAATACATCTGATGTCGACGATCGCCCTATTCAATTTGAACGGATCCGATTCGATTGAAGTTTATTCCATTCTGCGTGTATGGATACTCAACGTGATGTTTTCTTGTCTACTTAAATCGATAAAATCATATTCTTTTCGTAAGGGGATCTTTCGAGGTGCTTCACGATGATGTAGATTCCTATGAACTGGCAGTGAAGGTGGTGAACAATGATACTGGTGAATCAATGCACGAGGTACCTACCGGCACCCAGGAGGGAGACTTTGAATTGAATGATTTGAAGCCCAATTCGAAATATTCCATATGCTTTCAAAACAACGCAGGTGAAGACGACGAAGAGAACGAATTCGACGTGGGTTTCAATCTCCGGTTCCACAATCCACCCAGGTCTCTGGACGATGCGGAAAGTGGACCCGATGGAGAACGTGCCAGCCAATTGATTCAAAAAGCAGCGCAAATCGACCAAGAGTGGTTCACCCTTCAAGATCACTTTGACTTTTTAAGGAATCGAGAGGGCATCCATTTTGCGATGAACAATCAAATCATGACTCGGTTGGCGCGCTGGACCTACGTCGAATCACTCTTGGTTGTCGCAATGGCGGTGGGACAGGTGATGTATTGGAAGAGATTTTTTGAGAAACGGCGATATATCTAGTAGCGAAGTCGCAGCGCAGGAACACGCTGGACACAACACAGAAAACGCCCTCAGAACCCCGGTTTATTCTAAAATATATAGTGCAGATCGGGCTTGATTATCTTATGAGTGATTCCCTCATACTTTAGGTATTGCTTATGTTAACTTTTCCGCATACCTTGTGAATGCTAGACATATATATATATGCAATTGTGCTCTAGAAAGCTCTTTTTCCGCCTAGCGATTATCACCATTTTCATAAATCTTCTTGAAAAGAAGATAAACATTGCCATCAAGCATTCTTGTTGAGTATGCGTCGAAGAGTGAAGACGAATTACTGGTTGAAGCTCTGCTGGGAAAAAAGTTTAGACATATAAAAAGAGTGCATTCGACGGGGTTCGAACCCGCGCATACGTACGTATAGTGCATCTTAAGTGCAACCCCTTAGACCACTCGGGCACGAATGCTGCGATCTCAACGCTGCGATATTGGCCCATTATTTTGATATATAATGAATAGGCAATTGCCAATATTAAAGAAACTATGAACATATTGTTGACAAAAAGCATGAAACGAGACAACAGTTTGATGCCGGTGAAGATGGCGAGTTCTCGTATGAGTAGGTACGAGTACGTACTACCAGGTACACAGTACGAGTGGTCACAAAATATTACTTCGTATTTTTTACACGGTTGATGAACGCCAGCCCAAATCGTTGCTATGGACTTTAACCATTTTAATAAGTTCTAAGAATGGTCTGTTCTAAAGTGGCACCAAGTGGTGCCATTTTTATTATGATAATGCTTTCCCCCCCCCTTGAAATGAAAGCGCTAGCATTGACACCACCAAGTGCATTTTATATGATGGACAGAATAAAAACCGAGCGATCGAGTCAACCCCGACACGTACAGAACATGGCTTTGGTTCCGCTTCCGGCAGAAGATGTCAAGGATCTTTTGGTGGTTGGCAGTCCGTCGGGGCTTCAGTATGAGACCTACTGGGGAAGAACCAAGCGTGAGACGTATAATAGACTCCTAGAATCTACAATGGTTGCTGCTATTGGATGTTTCTTTTCCTACTTTGTGAGCTTTGTGGTAGGAAGCTTTGTGGCTACTATTTTTGGTTCTCTTTTTGCTTTTTGGGCTGTGTTATCTCCCGACTTCAAGGCAAGGCAGAGAAATTGGGAATTTTTGGGAGGAAGGGCTATCGTAGATCCTTGGATGTTAGATGACGCGAATGGTTCAGTCGATCGCAACAATGCAGGCCTATACGGCTCAATGTTTTTGGGGAGGATTGAAGATGCGTGCGTTGTCGAAGATAATGCATCAATCGACGAATTCGATCTAGAAGAGTTCCAGGATTACAAAAATGAGGAAGACGAACAAGAGGAAATTACGGGATTTCCGTACTTGATTCGATTGCGAATTACTGACAACGATGGAAGAGAATTACAAATACATTCTCGCTTAAGCGAAGAGTATCTTGGAATTCAAAAGGGAATGCCTATTGCTGGGATTCTACTAAGTACATACGAATCATTTTCTTCATTGTCGGCTATGTCCGATGTATACGTCCCTGACGTGGGTTGTTTTGTCGGTGATTATCCCTACTTGAATAGACCGGGGATGGAAGAATTATTGTCATCAGATGACGATCTTTGGAACACGCTACAGTCGCAAAGCCGATGGTGATGATTTAAAACCAAACAGTAGGCTATTTCATTCGTTCTATCTAGCCACTCAATAATCCTTGATCAGGGAGCTCAACCTTTCCAGCCATAATTGTTTTGAGATTTAATTCTCGACCCATCAAAGTATCTTCAAGATGTTGATACGACGGACTCAGATCGTTGGTTGTCATTAAGGAAATATTCGCGGTACAACCTTCCACACCAAGGACTTTCTGCTGCAAATACTTTTTCAGCGTAGAGCTTGCATTGGGGTCGTTGTATCCAGCTTGGATTCCACCCCAAGTAACGCAGCCTGTTTTACTATCAACAGTACTGTGTTCATAGGTGAAATCTAAAAATCGGTGAATTTTTTCTTTTGGAGAGAAAGCATACACAGACATTGAATGAATCATCAAATCACCCAATCTTCTTCTGTAAATCATTCCCTGTCTGTCTACAACCTTTAGGAATCGTCGAACTTCATTGCTCTGAAAAAAGGACAGCTTGGCAACAAAAAAGTTGTTGTAAATTCCACACATATCCAAATCAATGTCACGGATTGGTGCAGGTGATCCTTTCAAATTTCTCCAAATCTTCCAGATTCTTCGAGTAACCTGCATCTCGTAGGAACAAAGTCGAAATCCGTAGTTAAAATCATTCTCTTTCATAAAGTCAAAAACATCATATTTGACTGGAGACCTCAGAAATGAATCTTCGTCAAAGCGCATAATGTACTCGTACAAACATCCATGAGTCTTTCGGTAGTCTTCAAAAAAACGCCAGATGTCAATTGCATACCAATGCATCATCTGCCGATATCCTTCTGAGAAAAGAGGATAAGCATACCAATCATGAGGGTTGTCTTGACTGTGCCAACTTGGACGGCGCCAATACGAAGTGTTGTAGAGATCTATGAAGTAGAGAGCTTCTCGAAACTTCGATCCCAATCTACCTTCAATCAAATTCATATCATCGTCTGTGAAGTCTGCAGTATGGAAGACAATCACATCTGTATTGTTTTGATGGTTGTTCAAAGAAAGATAATTTGTATTCATGAGTTCCAAGGATTCAAGTAAAGAATTGAAGCTGTTTCTGTCGTAACTTGAGTGGTTTTTCTGTCCCAAGTAGACAATTGCATTTCTCTTGCATATATGATTCTGACTCCCCTTGGAAATCTTGGCATCAATTTTTACTGATGTCTTTTCGGCTCTAACTTCATTTGCATTCGCGTTTTTTGACACCTTTCCACTACTAGTTGCTAGAACTTGTTCGACCATAGAATAGAATTCCACGGGACTCAATCGATGAGGGTCTTCCCAGTTCACACTTTGGTTGTGAAGATTCATATTAAGGTAAATTGCGGCTTCGGATATTGCACTGTTGCCGTGTAGCAAGAACTGACATTTTGACATAGCTAGAACATCAACAAGAGCTTCAGAGTTCACACGGTGGTGTTTTTCCAGCATATGAGCAGGCCATTTCCAAGACGACCTTACAACGAAGGAACCCTGAGTTCGGATCATTCGTTGAACGTCGGGTGGGAAATGCTGAATGATATATTCCAATGATCGATGTGAATCTGAGGCCACGTAGACTTCTTTTCCTCCAGCCCGAGCAAATGCGACAAGATAGTCCCGGAACTTATTTGGTGGGAACTTTGTGCGATGACTTCCTTCTTTATCAGCGTTGCGTAAGTGAACGGCGAGACAGGGAGGTGATGTTGAATTAACCGGATTAACTTGTTGAACTCTTTCAACGATGAACGAATTGAATTTAAAGTAGCTTTTCACTATCTCACTAGCCCTAGACCGCATTGGTTCGAGCCATGACTTTAGAGTCAAGTGATCGGGATTCCACAAGTTGTTCGGAATATCATCGTACTGCCAGGCCTTGCTTGACAAGGGATCGAAAGAATTCAAGCTATGCACCATACTACTGTCCATCGAAAGAATTGGTTTCCCTGTGCAAGATTCACTACCTGGTACAAAATCTGAGACTGGATGAAAGTAGCTAGACCATATACCATTGCCTTGCAGTCTAAGCCTCTTCGTTTGATTATTGCTTTGTTCACTACCCATTGGAGGACCAGGGTAAACCAAAGACGCGTTTTGGTCATTTCTAGTGAGCGGAATCATCAATTCGTTTTCAACATTCTCAATAATCGATACGTCTGTACCATGTATTTCATCATCGTAAAGAAGGTTTGAGGAATCACTCAAATGAACCCATGGTTTGAGATTATTTCGCTCTGCATAAATCAGCTGGTTTAAAACCGATGTGAAGAAAGCCGCGCCACTACCATCATGTGGATCGATATGCGATATATGAAGAATGCCATTGACAGAATCACATGATTGATCCTTCGTTGGTAACTGCTGTAGATAGTTCGAATGAGGCATCCACCAATCCGGGATCTTTTTTTCCTTCGCGATCTGACTCGCGTTTTCACCATTTAGTACGTTTCTCACCAGGTCTTCAAATTCGTGTGCCCTAGAATGTTCCGAATCTTCGAGATTGATCGATGTGTAATGCAAATCTATGTTGATCCATATGCTGGATTCTGTCACTGCACTGAGTCCGTGGATCATAAACTGACATTTTGACAGGGCTAGAATTTCGACAAGAATTTCTGTGTTTGTACGATGATGGGAGCCAATATCAAAGACAGCCTGCAGGTCATTGGAACGGACGACGTTGTCCCCCAATGACCGTATGACTTTCAGAACATTTCGAGGCCATCTATTCTTAATGTGGTCTACGACATTCTCCGAGTCTGTTGCGAGGTATACCCATTTCCCACCAGCAGCCAAGAAAGATTGCACGTAAGGTAAGAACTCATCTGTTTCAAGTACTCGTCGACCTGCAGCCTTATCAGAATGCCGAATATGGAGTCCGAGACACGAATTGTGGAGAGAGCAGTAGGGATTTGCATCTTCTGCCAGTTCCTCGATATGAGGCAGAAATCGTATGTATCGATTGAAGACGTCGTGCGCAGATTGACGTTGAGGGGCCAGCCAATCATTAAGAGGTATGTGTGGCTTTGTGATGTAATCCGGTAGATATTCATACCTCCAGCATCTGGGAGCACCAGAAAAACCATGCACTCCTGGAGTGACAAGATAAAGATCCATCGTGACGAGAGGTTTGCTTTCGCATGATTTATCTCCAGGAGCGAAATCGGAGATTGGTTCAAAGTAATTATTCCACACTCCATCCCCATCAAAATGAAAATGAAACGGTGTCAAGTTTTTCGGATCACCAACGGGCGCTCCCGGGACTGCATCTCTTCGATGTCCCATAGGCCTAGAGACATAGGAAATTTTCATCCCCTTTTGCATCGTAACGTCGACACCGCTACTATTTCCGTGAACAACAGGGTCGAAAACAATATAACTAACATTGTTGAAATGCACCCAAGGTTTGAATTTGTATTTCTCCGCCCACAAGATTTGACCAATTACAAACTGAAAGAAAACAGTTCCAGCTGCCCCCCCAATATCGCCTTTTTCAATGTGGTATATTCCTTCATATCCGTCGCAAGCGTGATCAGTAGGACTACGGCGATGTGTACCTTGACGTTGACGCTGATATCGCTGGGGCTGGAGGAAAGTATCGTGTTTATCCAAATTATCACTTGATGCCGTTGACATCGACGACAATGAATGATACAGTGCATTCCGTGCCGCGAAGATAAAGGATAGAAGAAGAAATGATCTCACTAGTTTTCTTCGTCGACACAATACTGAATTTGTTCGGATACATTTTTTCTCTCTCTTTTCTAGATCATCATCGTCTTCGAAGGCGGGATTCAATGGATGTGTTTGATTACGGATTTGATTATTCTTTTTGGAATGCGTATTTCTGTGGAACAACATGCTAACAGTGTCCCTGAGAGCATCGAAGCGAGAGCAGAAGTCTTTTGAAAGTTTTGTCGGTTTTTAATCATGATGTCCACCTTAGCGATTGTCTCGTCTCTGACTGAAGCTGTCTACTCAAACTTCTTCGTCAATCGTACGGTACGTTTGGTAATACTCGTACGTACGAACCAGTACTAGTAAGCGAACTACTACCGTACCTGTCATGTCGCGAATCGTATCGTGGAGTCCCGTATGCGTAAGTACGGTACACTTTGCGTTCCGCAAAAACCGAAAAACTAATATCCATGACTAGAATTCCGGAATCTTTCATTTCACCGCAGTCAATCGTTCTACAGGTACTGGTACGTAGGATTTAATAATAGTCATACGTTACCCTGTACGTACTTCCATCGAACGGTAACTCAACTGCTCTTTCCAAACTTTGTGTCTCGATACCGGTACGAGTGACATAGACGATGGAAACTAACGGAGATGCTTTATTGCCGTCGATACTGCATGCGAGATACAACAATCGTTCGGGAAATGATGCAGTCGACCACGAAAGCCTATTGACCAATTTATTTTCACTTCTGTCTACGCTGGGAGACATTGCCTCATGCTTCGACCCAAGATCTTTTGATAAGGAACATCACAGCAATATTGTTCAGAATTATGGTATCGTAGCATGGATTTACGAAGGCATTAGGAACAATACTCCATCATCATTTAACAGCAAGAATCATGATGGAAGCGCATTTTATGGCGAAGGTTCTTTACTCTACGAATGGTCCACAGCTTTACAATACATCCACGATTTGACACGACACATAGCTCCATTTGAACTTCACATTCTAGCTAGCCAATCCATCTTGTTTTCCGAAGCACCAACAACGTCGTATCGGATTCTCTGCTTGCTTCTGTGTACACATTCGTTACAGCAATGCCCTTTCACACCACAAAAACGATGGAAACGATGGCAAAGCCTTGTCTGCGAAACGCTTCGAATATTTCAAGACTCTCTTCCTGTGTTGGATGACAACAATTTGGACGTCGATTCTAGTCAAATAATACTCGCCCTCTTCATTCATCACATTTTGCCATCGAGCTGTCATGTTATAGACCAGCTCCCCACCAAGAACTCGTATCACGTCGCTATGTTTTCGGCGCTTGTCGGAACGAGTTGCACTATTTTAGAAAGAAAACTTGATCATTGTCAAGAACGGTTATCCAAAGGCACCAGAGACAGAATCAGTATTGTATCTGATTTCAAAGAATGGAAATCAATCATATATCAAGCTCTTCTATCGACAAGATTGTCTTTTGAACGTTTCGGTGTTTTTTCTGAAATGACAGTATGGATAGACCCGATGCTCAAATTCATTGACGACGATGAGGCAAATCGAAACGAGGACGTTGACTTTCTGATGCACAGAGACAATCTTTCATGGTGGGCTTGCATTAGGAGCAATGATGAATCAGAGGAACGGGTTGCAAACATGGATACTTCAATTAACGATGTTGGACTAGCGCTCTTAGCCATGAAGGCTTTTCAGGAACGACCAAAAGTATACCGGCCGAATTTTGTTTGGAAGGTTTGGTTTCCCCATGTTGTAGCACTATTTAGAAAATCGGGGGAATGTCCCGTCATTTTGGAGCACTCAACATCGCTTTTTCTGGAATCTCTGGTTCAAATGGTGCGTGAAAATTCTCTCGTGGCAGAAAAAGTTGTTCATAGGCAACCAGATGCTCCTGTGGAGCTATTTATTCTTTTATCGAACCGGCTAATGTCCCGAGCGCAAACGAACCCCTCAGGGAGCGGAAAAGAAGAAACAAGAACTGCAAGCCATATCGACGAAGAGGGACAGTTTAAGATGCGATCTCAGCGCACAGTGGGCCTTATAAAGGAATTGCTAAACCGTTTCACTGCAGTCTCCCGAGTTCATATCGTGAAGAAATTTTTACAGCAGTGCCCTACGCCCGGTCTTCAAGCAAGATTTTTGGACTTGCTTCGACCACTCATTTTGACCTCTGATATTCAAGCCAAAAAACTACTTTCGGAGCTTCTTCTGTCGATAGTCGACAACTTATTCAACAAGCACTGGGACCGAAAAAAACAGAATTTAATAGGCATCGACCTTCTGATTGATCGAAGTGTGGAAATATCTATTGGGGCGATTACTATGATTCAGATGTGGTGCATGGTGCATGAAAATGAATTCATGGCCGATCTAATTGGGATTGGATATGATCTGCAAGGCTTTCACGCTGCAATGAAGAAACAACTCAAGTGGTGGTTGGAAAATCCCTCCGACGCTCCGAAATCGCATTTTCGTCTCTTCCTTCTCGACAATGCTATCGAGAGCGCATTGGAACAATTCGCGGTTCAAAAGAGTACTTCGGCGCAAGGCAATGGTATACAGTGACTGATCCATTTTCGGATAGCAAATAATTTCTGCTATTCAATACTCGAGGGTTTTATAGCGCAGGATGAAAATGTATTTCAATAAAATAAATATTCCTCTATCGAATAGTCACCGTTTTGGATCATTATAAAAGGATTTTAGATTGGCTTTGCTAGTACAACACCGTCGAACTTATCTTGGAACCACTTGATGGCATCTTCCTTCTGGATTTTGTGGCTGAAACCAACCTTGGATCTGCGAATCTTTCTCTTGGCGACACGTGCTCCTTTTCTTGTAAGGCATACGAAGAAATCCATTCCGTAAATACCAGTGGTAGGATCATACTTGATACCCAAATCAATGTGTTCGTTGATCCCGAATCCGAAGTTTCCGGTCTCCGAGAAGTTTTGTTGGAGGAGTTCGTATTCCTTGACCTTCAGTCCACGTTCCAAAATCTCGAGGGCCTTTTCTCCACGGACGGTGACATGGACAGCAATCTTCTCGTTACGTCTGATTCCGAAACTACGAAGAGTGTATCGGGCCTTCGAGTAAACAGGCTGTTGACCTGTCAATTGTTCGAGCACACGAGCGGCACGGGTCAATCTATCACCACTTTCTCCGACACAGCAATTCAAGATCAACTTGTCAACCTTGATCTCCTTCATAACATTTTGCTTTGATTCGGCCATTTTGAAAATTGCTTTTGCGATTTTAAATTGCTGTCGGTGTTGCTTTGAATAGCGGTGTAGCCTCAAACTGTTTAGACGGAAGGTGGGGGTAAAGTTTACAGCAAAGAGGTTGCAAGGACTTCGTTTAGATTACGCTGAGAAAGGGGATACTGTGTAAGTCTGTGAACCGCATGTAACATGAATGCAAAAACTATTTGCAGTAGACCTTTTACGTGAAATCTTACACAAAAGTTTTAAGTAAGAGGTATCGTTCGTAGTGAAAAAATATGTGCATCACTGCGAAGACAAACCTATGCTATTTACCTAGTAAAGATATGATACGATTAGTGCCGTACGTAGTAAAGTATGTCAGGCGGTCAAGCACTGTTACGTACGTACTCGTTGCAGAATAGCACTTTTACATGTACACGTACGAAGTACGTACGGTAATGAGCAAGGGGTCATGAGTCATGACCCTTAAGACTTTAAAATCGTACCGGTACAATCTAGAAGTACTTGGTACCGTACGAACTCTATGGACTGCTTGACAAGGTCTATTATTTTATTTACAGGGCATAAATGATTTTTTTCGCGCAGGGGGACTCCGTCGACTTCATAAACATTATTTCATTTCAAAAATGAATCACACGGGAGAGAAATCTAAATTTCGACTGAAACACACATGCACAGAAGCCTAACAGAAGATCAAAATTGGTAATCAATCTTAATCCGCAATGTTTTCATTACCACTGGCGTGACGATTCCAAAAATGGAAACCATTCACCATTCAGAATCCTTATTTGCATAAAAATTGAGCGAGAAGACAGAAAATCTAGTGAACACAATTATTTTATGGTTCGTTGTAACCATATCACAATCGTAGTAATTGTCGAAGCCGCGATTCGCGAAGTCATGAAGTCGTTTTACCAAATCATTCTGCTCTTAATTAATCTACCAGGACAACTCTTACTTTCTAGTCATGCCCAGATCTACCCTAGTGTTGAGGACGAGTTACTTTTCCAAGTTGGTGCAGTGGCTTCTTCTTCGTTTGAATTATCATTGTATCCCACACCAACGAAGTTGGACAATCGAGCGACTGCACAAATACAGAACAAAGTCGAGAATGTGCTATTGAGTTCGTCTTCTTCTTCTTCGGATTTTGATTCTCTCAAAGGCATCAAGATTTCAGTCGAACGCGTGCAATTTATCGAAGGGTATAAACTACAAGAAAGATCTACAGCTGAGTCTAACAAGAAGGTATCCTTTATCAATGCCTCTATTTTTCAATTCAAAGCTATCACGTATTTTGATGTAAATCATGAGCCGTATTCTAATCCATCTCAGTTTACAGTGGACAATCTCATTGTACGAACCTTCTCTCAGCCTTCAACAAAATCTAGTTTTATCGAGCTTGTCGGCCTGACTGGAGATCCGTTTCTTGTCGATGTAGAAGGTATTGGCATCGATGTCAAGTCAAACGAACGCGTCCCGACGAAAGACAAGTCTACTCAATTATCAAGGGTTGACATCATTCTTATCACTTCATCTTGCTTCATACTCATTGGTGTTGTTTTAGTACTTTTCGCTCATAGTAAAAAAGAAGGCTATGAAGATCTTCAAGAACAGAAATATTTCAAAACAAAAAATAGATCTAAAGTAACAACTGACAATGCGAGTCAAGTCGATGGAACTGATGAAAATGATCCAATCAAGGCTCAGGAAGGTCAGATTTCTTTGTCAAGGATGATGTCTGTTGAAAAAAATATTATTGAAGCAGGAAGCCTTGAGAGCTCAATCGATAGCCAATCTCAAATCGCGATCTCACTTACAAACAAATCCCCTGAAGTTTCTGTTGCTTCACCATCACCATCGCACTTTACTTCCGGTCAAAGCTCTTCAGACATGAGCTCTTTGGACACAAGCTCTTCGGACTCAAGCTCTTCGGACTCGAGCTCTTGTAGCCCGAGCTCTTCGGCCTTTACATATCGTATGGACGAATCAATCTGTGAATCCATTCGTGAGCAAAGTGACTCTACTTTAGATTCGGAACCTATGGGAAGTGAGGAGATTAACCACTACTCAAAAGTTCACACAGCGGCTACGAGTGAGCTAGCGTTGAAGCTGCTAAACCTCACTAACACAGCTACGTACGTTTCGAGGAAGAAATTCGGTTCAGGATATTCATCTTCGGTCTCGGCCCCTACAATCCTGGAGGAAGCTGCGGGGCAATACATGAATGAGAGTAAAGTGGACGAAAAATCAATAAAGTCTGCTCAATCTGCTGGTTCAATTGAATCCGTCGAATCTGATACTACACTGAACGCAAGCAACCCAATTTTCAAAGGGTTGGTTATGTTCGGAAGCACTCAGGAATTCCACAACAGTTGGATGGAGTCAAGGAAGAAAGCCCTCGAAGATATTGAAGAGGAGAGTATTGATGATGTATTTCACGTTGATGTCCAGCGGAGTGTAATTTTCAATGGAGAGACAGAAGCTGCAAAGAGTACGTGGTCGCCTTCGGTTTCTGAATGGATGAAGTCAATACGTGTTTTCAATTCTGCTTCAGAAATGCAATCTTCAGCATTTAGCAATGGCAAAGAAAACGATTCTTTGGATCTCTCGCTCGAATCTTCTCTGGCCACATCGATAGTTGAACCTTAAAATTCGCACATCTAGGTAGTTCCATCACAACTATCTATTCAGTGATAGGCGAATAAATGTAAAGATTAATAAATCATTAAAGTTATTTTACTATGCCTCAGTCTTTGTTAGCATTTTTTTTCCAAGAAGCTGGCAGGTTCCCGTAGTTGAATTCTCCGTTTCGCTCTAATTTTCCCTCCAGTGCTGTGCGCATGGTTTCGGAATCCAATACCATTCGAAGATTCTTCACCGTTAGAAGTTCAACAAGTCCAGCTTTTTTGGCTTTTTCGAAAACCGCTGTAGCTACTCCATTGCGTTCATCACCGCTTGGCATTAAAAAGTTCAAAGCTCTAATCAGAGTAGAATAAGTTGTGCTATCTGGTTCAACTTCTTCGTCCATTTCAAGAGTCTTCAGAAACGCGAAGGCAATTTTTAAAGACTCTGTTTTTTGATCCGGAGATCCTTGACACCGTGCGCAAGCATCAATCGCAGTATTATAGGTCAAAGTCGTGGGACGAATGTGTTCACTTTTAGATTTTTTGTACTCGTCTCTCATTGCCATCAGCAACTTCAGGACTCGTTTGGCCTTATATGGATCCCTTGATCTTGCCCAACACTGCACGGCAGAAGTGTAAGTTCTAGTGTTTGGCCTCTCCCCGGCCTGCTTCATTTCGTTCATAATGGCCTCTACCTGCCGAGGAGACTCATCGGATCTTGTGCGAGACCATGCAGTAACGAGTGCTGTGTAGGTCCGGAAGTTGGGCTTGTGTCGATTGTTTCCAGTTTTTTCATAGAGCTTCTTAACTTCGGCGAGAAGTTCTCCTGCTATTCGAGTGGTCCTATAGGTTGCACACCGTGAATGTACGTCCATCACGCTTGTGTATGTAGCAATATCTGGTTGCCAATTCAAATCATGGGTTTCTTTGTAACGTTTTTTTGTTTCTTCCAGGAGATCGAGAGATGCAGCGGCGCATTCAGCCGCCTTTTCGAAACCTTCCTGATCGTTTTGGCTGGTAAACTGAGCAGATTTTCTAGCGTACGCGTGCAGAACCGCATTTATGGTTCGAATCGTCGGTTTCACGTTGCCCTTGGTGTCATCTTTGCTAATCTTTTCCATGTGTCGGTATATTTGAGTGGCCTTATCCAGGGAATTCGGTTTGTTACTGTTTGCCCAGGCATCGATGAGAAAGTTGTATGTATTCGTATTTGGTTCAATAGATTCATCGTCCATCATCCGCCGTAGGAGTCGTTCAGCGGCTTCGGGCGATTCGGATACCCTACTCTTGCTCCAAGTTTCCACAACAGTGTTGTAGGCAGTCAAATCTGGGTCAGGGTAGGCGAACAAAAGAGTCGTCGCACGTTTCGCAGCATCCAAAGGAGTGTAGACCTCGACGCTCATTCCTTTTTCCGAAGGCAGCGTTTGACTATTTCTACGGCTCCTAACTAGGGTTTGAGTACATTGATTCCAAGCAGATAGGACGAATTGGAAAGAATCCGAGTCAGGCTCAAAGTTGCTTTCGTTTTCCTTCGCATTTTCCCATAGCTCTTGGCATTGTGCCGCCCGAACAATGACGGGTTCGTTGGACGAAGAACACTTTGAAACCAGCGTTTCTAAATGTGCATTGAATTCTTTCAGACTGCTGAAAGATGGAGAAGATGCTGACAAAGACGACGACTGCGAAGAAGATGTTGTTGAGCGCAAAAGCACTTGCCTCGGTGTGTTCTTTCCCGAAAAACCTTGACGAACAATTTCAGAATTTCTTCTCGCGGTATCCGAGAGTGCGACCGGGGAAACAAAGGCATCCGTTCTCACGGTCTCGCTGCTAGTGTAAACGAGCAAGATGAGGAGGCCCAACATTCCATGGCGATTCCGTGCGACACCTGCTCGCCGCTGCTTGTGGGCTTCTTCCCTCATTTTGCTGCTTGTGTGCTTTACTTTACCTAGTCTTGTGAATAGAGGTAAAGTCAAAGGTGTTTGCCGAGAACGGGGTTACAGGATGATGAATACACCAAGAGCGATGGTGCATTTCAATGCGAGGACGGAACAACTTCTTTCCTCGACCGGTTAGTAATTCAACTGAGACGTGAGTTGCGGGGTGATGTTGTGAGTGGAACATGAGACAAAACTTGTCAATTTTAATCACGGCCCCAGGTCAGACTTTCAGTGTCAACTTCGGACATGCGTGCGTGGCATAGTACGTACTCGTACCATGTAAAAGTACGAACAACGATAATAATTCTTACTGTACAGTACAGCAGGGGTCAGTACAGTACGTACGTAAAGGATTGCGCGGAGCAGATGGATAGATAGAGGCGCAGAGACTGATTGTACCCGTAGGTACCTACCAGTACGTACCGTACTGTACTATTTTCTTTTCTCTGAAGTCCGTACCGGTACATACATACAAAATGGGAACATGCTGTACGAAGCTAGCTACCGTACGGTACGTACGCTAGCCTATCGTATGATACTCCTACCTTACGATAACGATACCGCTACGTACGTACGTGCTCGTGGTTATTAAAGGTAAAAATCAAATGTTCTTCGTCAAAAACACAAGTACGGTAGTTTTTGAGTGAACAAAAAACGCGCGAAAAACAGAAATCATTGCGCATGAATAAATCTCGATTTTGATTGGACGCTATGAAACAACTTGTGAAAATTTCAACTACGATCGACGATCAGCGTTCCAGTTGACAAATCAGTTGCGATCATCACTAACTTTGTTCACATTACGTTTGCACGATATCGGAAGCAATCGTTTCAAGGAGCCAATCCATATCTGCTATTGTTTGTCGAGGAAAGAAAGCTTCGCGTCTTGATTAGAAAAGAGATAGTGATACAGGCTGCCCTCGGCTCACCTCCAAACATGAATTCGAAGTCTACAATGAAATACAGGCAAAGTCGACGGACTAGGCAACTAACATTTCGAAAAGTTAGGATAAAATCTTTCTTTTTCATCATGTATGCACTCGCATATCTTTGCCAGAACTTGTGGAGCAACCAGTGCCCACAGCACCTTGTAAAAGCACTGCTACCAGAATATCCCTCCACTTTCGAGAGAATACGGCGCGATGTCCATACAAGAACTTTATCGAAGGAGGGAATAAATCACAGCAACTTCAACCAAAATTTCAACAACAACAACAACAAAAACAAAAACAAAAACAACAAAGATCCAAACTTCATTCCAGCTCACGAACAGCTACTTTCTTCAACGAGCAGAAGAGAGCCAGGAAATATTTTTTCCGGCTTTTCACCGTCGCAAAGTGATGTGTCGCCGTTGCCATCGCCTGCTACGACAAACATTACACCGCTTAAAGTCATGATATTCATTGACGGGACTTGGTTATACTACAGTATCTATGAGCGAAGTTATGAACGAGACGTGATAGCACAAAAATTAGGCAAATATTGGAGAGCAGAACTGACTCCTGATTGGAGTCGTTTGCCGACTGTTGCGTGTCAAGCTCTATTGGAAGACCCAAAGTCAAAGTGGTCTGCAATCATGCCAATCGGGGCCGACGCTTCGAACGAATCACCATCACCTTCTACGACGACAGTACCCGCAAGGCCGATTGAAGTTTCTAGAGTTTCGGTCTACAGTTCCATGCACCGCGATACCCCGAAAGATTCGTTCCGATATAAAATGTTTGCCGACATGATGAAGGCCGGATTTGATGTGAACATGATGGAGACCGTAGGGAAGGGAGAAAAGTGTGTTGATATTCAACTGGCTGTTGATATGTTGTACTACGCTACAGTGCCAGATGCATACGACGTGGCGCTTCTCCTAACGGGGGATAGAGACTTTTTGCCGGCTGTGATTCGATGTCGCCAGAAAGGTCGACGGATAGGTCTAGTGAGTATGCGAACCGGAAGCTTGGCCTTCGAAGATACCCCAAATTTGAAAGACTACGATACGATATGGATGGAAGATTACCTATCTAAGTGGATTAGAGAGAAGACACCGCAGGAAATGGTCAGCATGAACGGTCTTAGAGGAGGGAAACGCCCATTCTCATCTAGCACGAATGGAACTCAACAGTTATCACAAATATCAGCACACACGCTGAACAAGGTGATAACAAACTTCATAGAAAAATCCGGTGCGCCTCGAGTTTCTTCCCGTGATATGGGAAGACATTTGAAAGCACTTACCGTAGGTGAAAGGTCAATGCTCGACGAAATCAAGGCTGTCTACGGCGGACTATATCAATTTTTGGTTCTTGCGGAAATTTATCGCGTTGAGGCAGATTCTAGGAGAGCCTTCAAGGCCTTTTGGGTATCCATGCAAATCGACAGTAAGATGACTAAAAAGGAAGAACGAGTCAGAGATGAGGATTTAAGCGACAATGAGAAGAAATTTCTAACAATGTATGAGCAGTGGGTACCAACTGATAAGAACAAAGAGTATCATTTTACAATGACTGAGCCAGATCTGAAGAAGTCACCGCAGCTAAGCGACATTTCTTCGTCTCGCGTGATGCCTGAAAGTTTGGAAGATGAATCGCCGTCCGTTGACTACACTGCGCTTACAGTCCCTGAATTGAAAGAAATATGCCGCAAAAGGGGTTTGAAGGTCTCCGCGAAAAAGAAAATAGAATTAATAGAGAGAATCGAAGCTTCTGTATCTAGTGAAATGCAAGAGCCCGAGATCAAAGTTGCTGAATCGAGTCCCGAAAAATACTTGCAGTCTTTGGTCCTTGAATATTTGCATGCATCAGGGGGGCAGGCAAGTTCTAGAGATGTCGGACGATATCTAGCGGCGAACAAGGTTAGCTACGAACGACGTCGCATCGAAGGGTCGATGGCTCAAAGGATGTCTGCATTGTTGGAGCTGAAAGAGATATATGGAAGTTTAAATGCTTTCGTGAAAAACGTTCATTATCTTTATACCACTTCGGGAGAAGGTCATGAATTCAACATTTGTATCGACAAGGACTCGAGACAGAAATTAAGTTAAACATCATCCATTTGTAATATGACTTGGTTCTGATGGATGTGGATATCGTATACGACCTGAACTTCCTGGACGTGCGTGGATTGACGTAAAAAATGTAGGTGTTCCATCAAAAACTTTTCAGTAAACTCTACGGGTTCACGACAGTCGATGATTGAATCCAGGGTGTCGACAGAGTCTTGAGATGTAGCAATGAAGGGTGAACTTGGGAATGGTCTTGAACCTTCGATTGAATCTTGACTTTCCATATGGAGTGAAAGTTGCGGAATAAAAGATTCCTCGGTTGTGGAACAAAATCTTGTCTCAATCTCAGTTTCTCCTCTGCATTCCTTTTGACAGTTGTCTTCAGCACTGCCGACATGGGCTAGGTACTGGAATCTTCTCCGTTTCCACCAGGTACGAAACGCAATCAGCAATTGAAATTTCTTTTTGCAATCGCGAGCGATGTACATCGTAGTAGTGATAGGGCTAGTAGTTTCTATTTTTCGAAGACGAAAAATTGTCTCGAAAGTACTGTAATCAATATGACAATGGTGTTGGCTGTTGTTCAGTCAATTTGAAAGTATTCGAAGACTTCAACCTTCTGTTGTGTCAAAGAGACTGCCTGAACAAAACTGCAATTCGTCGTGATGCATCGAGAATAGTTTACAATGATAAGAATAGGTGTGACTTCAGATGGAAAAAAATATTAAACTTCAAAACTATGGTGGCTCATGAGCCTTGGCATTTCGTGTGACTGATAATTACAAATTCATTGCTGATTATGAGTGATCGGAGTATTCGTGTTGATATTGAAAGTATCGGTTATTCACTTTAATGCTGAAACGGACATCAAAGCGTCCTAGACTCTGAAACGTGTACTGAATGGAAGACTTTTCACAAAAAACCTGTAGAGGTGCCCTTCTAATAGTTCCAACAGGACACGTGGACATTCAGCAGTGGAATTGTACTAAGTACCAGTACTGTAGCAAACAGGAAAAATACATAGCGACTTGTAAAATGTAGATTGTGTGTAAGTGCGACTTTAAGATTGCAAAGCTTGTTCAGTTTTGATAAAGGGTCCTTGACCCGCGGGACTATCGCAGTGATGGCCTTCGATTTTGTCGTCTTCGTGATGAGGTATACTTTCCCGTACTCTTACTCCTTCTTTTTGTAGATGAGCCTTCTTTCGGTTTCTTTACTCTGTGTGATTTTCTACTGGAACTGCTTTCTCCGTTCTCGCGACTGCTTTTTTTCTTCGATCTCGAACCTGACGATCCATCGCCAGTTCGTCTACTTGGCGATGTCTCAGATCTTTCCGGTTTCTTGCGACGAGATTTTTTTACTGCTACGGATTTATCTTTCGCTAAAGCGCGTATTTCGGAGAGAAACCCGTCATTGTCAACAACAAGGTCCCGTCTGCTTTTGCTCTTTTCGCCCTCTTCTTCGAGAGTTGGCCATCCATTTCCCTCCGTCATACCCCAATCAATATCTGCTATATCCTTTTTGGATTTCGAACTACTGTCTCTGGGTTTCCGCCTACCACTGCCACTGCCACTTTCGTCACTCCTTGTTCCAGTCGTTAAGCCTGCAGGTTTTTTCGATTTTTTTTCATTCGAGTTATTGCTATTTGAAGATGATTCTGAACGTATAGAAGAAGTAGGCGCCGTTTGCTGACCAAAACCAGAAGACTCGAGCTTGCTCATGGCCATTTGGTAATTGAGGCGTCTTTGGGCCGCGGCACCGCCAACACTTCCTCCCGACTTGGTTGGGATCGCACGACGAGATGGTAGCGGCCGAACTTGGCCAAGCATATTTTTCACTTTCCCTCCAGCTTGGGATGTTCCCAAGCCGGGTCTGCTCGACTCGGGAGTAGTTTCTGTCTCAGAAATTTTCGATAGCCGCGTACCTTTCCCTGATCGTTCTGCGCCGAGCAAATGCATTGGAGTCATGGCACCCGGTCCTTTCAGTTCGCGATAATGTTCTTCATCTGCAACCTTCTGAGAAGTCATAACAGTTGGTGTACTGATTTCACTAATACACGATACTTCGTCTGAATAACCAGGACCAATTTTAGGATAATTGTCATCGTCGTCTATGACATCGTCTAGAGTAGGAGTGACGGACTTTTTTGATTTCGTCTTCGACCGTTTCGAGGATGATGTCTTGGTTTGAGTAATTTGTTTTTGTGCAGCTAAGCTCGCTAAGGCCAGTAATTGGGGATTCTTCAATGCCTCCATAATTTCTGGTGAATCTGATTGTGCTTGTTGGAGTTTCTTTATTATTTCTAAAATCTGAGCATCACTCGTGGCGGAATTATTGTTGGCGGTGGTCTTGTACTTGCCTGCTCCTTTCTTGTTGCTGCTTCTGGAACTCCGATTCTGTCCATCTGCCAACAACCCCGGGTCAACGCCATCGATCCCAACTGATTTCAAAAGAGTGACCAACCCATTCAGTTGCTCATCTACTCCTCCGGAGTCATCTCCTGCCATAGTTTAAGGTTCTACTTTTGTTGGAGTCCCTCTGGTAAAGTGTCGTCGATTATGCTTCTGCTGGCGTCGATCTTCGGGGAGCTGTATTATTTTTCTTTCGGAGGAAGACTACTAGTCACTTAGCCTATCGAGGTTGACGTACTCATGTACTGCGAGTCCTATTGGTTCGTTCTACGAAGTCCTTCGTGCTTCGAAAATATTGATGCTGGTACAGAACGAAGCACGATAATTCGTAGAAGAAGTAATATTTACTCCGTGAGGAGGAACTGATGCGAATACAAGGTACGAAGCAGGGGTCTAAATTATGACCCCTGGTACGAAGTACAATTGCTTACAACTCTTACTGTAACGGCAGTTTTTTTTTTTGCGATCTGCTTTAAAAAACTGTACGAACTGAAATTGTACACGAGTACTGTATTTCCTATTTTTTTCGTACCGTACGTACCGCTGAAAACTGACAATTCTCCTTCGATGTGCGTTGTCACGGTTGATAAGACGGTAAAGTGGGCCGATTTATCGCTCACATTCTCTTTTGAAACCAATTACTGTACGGTAACAAAAATGTTTTCTGTGCGTTGTTACCGTACGTACGAGTACGTACCGTACTGCTATCCAATAGAAGTACTGTATTTCATACGAGAACGAGCATGTGTTACGATAATATGTATGTTATTCAGGCATATCACAACATAGATTAATAGTCCAGGCAACTGTCATAATGATGTCTAATTTTTCACCGTGATAAATAGGAATGACTACTTTCTTCATTCCTTCTAGGTTCCACGTGAAACTATATCATATGTTCAAAAAGGGGTGAGATTTCCCCGTCTTAAATTTTCTGTGATTGAACTTTGTTGTGGTGAGGTGTCCGTGAAGATAGTTGTAAAGATATCTCGAAGAGGATAGAAACTGCAAGGAGGCTGTCTACCGATTTATCGTACGTGCAGTACGTTAGTTGCACCGTACGAAGTGACGTCGAAAAACAGTTGGCAGTTCGTCGTACATGGATGGATGCACTCTTCTACAGTACGTTGTACGCACGTACTGTGAATCAAGCAAGCTGCGAAACAGGAGTAACTTGAAAAGTCGAAAACCAAAACATTACACGACTTCTTTTGTTTCGCAGGTTGACTTCGCTTGTGCATCAAATCCTACTCTATTTGCAACATCAACAACCAAATTGAAATTAGCGAAGTAAAATAAAAACAACATGGACCGCCTCATTGCTCTTTCCCTCCTATCCACCGCGGGCGCATTTGCCCCAGCTGGTGTCCACCAGCAGCAACACGCACAACTCAGCAGCTCGTCTCTTTTGGTTGCATCTACTCCTGTTGTGCAAACCCCTCCTTCGCCTTTGACGGAATGGGGATCTAAGATTTCCAACATTCGGGTCGCGCAAGAAGAGATGCGCAAGCAAGACCTTCCCGAATTCGGACCTGAAATTTCTGCCACCGACCTCGGAATTGCAGGAGACAAGGCTGCTCAGTTGGCCTACTTCAAAGAGAATGCCATGGAACTCAAACAAAAGATGCTAGACCACGGTGCCATCATCTTTCGCGGATTTGACCTGATGAAAGAGCAAGACGGATTTCAACAGTTTTACAACGCTATTGAAATGAAAATTTGCCAGGATCCTCTCCAATCTGTTTCTGCTCGACCTACGGCCGACGGAAAGAAGGACTCACCCGTATACGAAGCGGTAAATAAAGAAAGCCGAAAAAATTTCTTCATTGGTAAGTTGAGATGTGGGCAGTGACCCAAGCTTGTACGTTTCTCCATTTGGTTGGTAAAAAAATCCATGTGGAGTCAGGACTTACTGCATGTGATAACTCATACGACAAAATTCTTCCCTTCGATAATATCAGGTATGCACAATGAGTTTGTTGGAACCCGTGCTCCTCGAGCAGCAGCCTTTGTCTGCTTCAAAGCGGCCGAAGAGGGTGGAGAGTTTTTGATTGCGGATGGGCGTCGAATTTTCCGTGACTTGGATTCCGACCTTGTGGATGAACTCTACGATCGCAGTATTCGCTACTCGGTCATGGAACTTCCATTTTTCGGATGGATTGACAATCTCCCCGATCCAATCCAAGGCCCCGTCATGACCGGAATGAAGGGAGTCGTATCAGCTGCTATCAATGCGAAAGTAGACTTTGACGTTGACATGTTGTGGGGAGAAGGTGGATACGACAACACACGTATGTTGCAGGCTCGTTCTCCGGGACAGCCTGCGATTGTCAACCACCCTGTGACCGGAGAACCAACTTGGTTCTGCAACGTCCACTCTCATTCGTCGAAGCTTCGAAAAGACCGTGAATCTGTGTAAGTCGCTATTGTTGTTGAATGCGTGGCAAGCAATCGAAATCCTCGAAAAACAAAATTGAGCCATTGATCTGAGATATCCATAACACTGACATTCATTTCTCCGAATGGATTCTATATATTCTTATTTCTGACGATTTTGACGAAATATATACGACAAATCATATTTGAATGATTAGGTACGGAGCTGAAAGATTCGAAGACGGTGCATCCCAGATTAATAAGTCTGACATGTACTTTGGCGACGATGGCATCATCACCGACGAACAACTAAAACAGATGGATGACGTAACAGTGAAGAATATTCGTTATGTGAAGATGACAGAAGGAGATGTTGTGCTACTGGACAACTACAAATGCATGCACGGACGCAATGTATTCGAGGGGACACGAAAGCATGCTGTTGCTTGGTTTGAAGGATGGGAAGGAGAAAACGAAATGAAGAAAGTATCATCCAGCTTGGAAAGCGTTTCTGCCTAGGTGCCATTCAATGCACCCACAACTAGGATATCGGAGTATCATATGTATAATTTTTATCAAAAGGAATAATATAATCTCTCCTCCACAGTAATAAAATTAATCTCTTGATACTGGGTCACTGTTGATTTTGTTTTTTCATTAGCGTCATAATTTATGAATTGTGGCAATGCTGGTATTACCGAACCATGTTGGTGAAGGAAGGAAAACGGTTCGAAAATTGTATTGTTTTGCTCTTGGTTTTTTGTTCCATGCATTCTGCGATACGACGAACCTGAGAAACAAATAAATACGACGAAACACTGTTGATTATATGCTTCAGACTCAGACTAATCTCAAGATCCTTTATTCATCAAGAGATATCGGGCGAAAGAGGTTCTTTTGGAAGAACATTTCGCGCCTCTCAAAAATCATTTTCGTGTTGTCAAGCCTTCTTGTCGTGTGGTGAATGATTGCACGTCGTGATACCCTGTCTTTTCTGTGGTTCGACGATATCTTCGATGACGCAAAATAGATCGGGCATTTTGTGAATCTCGTTGTCGACGCAAAACAAAGAGGGCTTGCAGGGAAATTTCGAGATGATCCCAAGCAAAGACCAGTAATCCCTTCGAGGATACCAGAAGCAGCTACTTGTCCATCATTGGACGGAGATTTATCCACGCTGCATGTGGACGGCGATTCTCTACAGCCAAGGAAACGAGACTTGTTTTCCGTATTTATCGATTGTAAAGGTTGTGAGGTTGTCCTTGGTTTTGAGGCTCCCCAAGCCCTTTTATCGCAAGACAATGTGGCGTTCCTTGTATGTGTCGGGCTTTTCGATACTGAACGTCTACTAGACCTGAAATGTGAGTTTCTGCTTGTGTCGTTATTCAACCCGGCGACCATTATTGATACTTCTTTTGCAAATTTTCTTTCCTGTTTTTTTTTTCTGGGACGTTTCGTAAAGAGTTTGTGCTTCTTACCGAAATAATGTGATCAAAAACTTTTTTGTGAAAACGAACGACGATTTATGAGACGATTATTGACACGCTCGTTTTGGTACTTAGAAGGATAGATTGAGAGCGAGACGCGCAACGCAAGCAACGCTCTATCAACGCCTACAAGCGATTTACATCTGCACTCTGCACGCACCAGATTAATTTTTTGGACTAGAATCTACGCCCCATCTTTCATGCAGAATGAATTCAAAACGAACGGTGAGGAGATAGGAAATGAAGGGCTCTTGTTGTAGTAGTACTAGTAGTTCCTGCAACTACCACTACTAGTAGTCCTGTTCAGATCCTCCAACTATTCTTAATGTAATGTACAACAGATGGGTGCAAAGATGGAATTGGCCTGTCATAGGTTTTCTAGTAGTATAGACTGAAAAAGTATGAACGTCAAGTCAGATAAAGATACTACTAATAGTAGTACTAGTAGTACTACTAGTAGTACTACTAGTACTACTAGTATTAGCAGCAGCAGTAGAAGTAGTAGGAGGACTACTAGTACTAGTAGGAGACTAATACTAGTACTAGTAGAACTTTTTCCGTTAACTGTTTTTTTAACCCAATTTTTTGGTTGATTTTTAGGGTTGCTTTGTAGCTGTTCTGTACCCATGAATTAACATATTTTGTGAGTGGAACAAATAACACAGGAGTCTAGAATCCTGACCAGACTTACTACTACCTAACTTGCCAAAAAAAATTAAAATCTGGGATGAGTTAAAGGTTGAGAATTAATTTTCATTTTTACGGGAGGGCTGCTGTTGAAATGTAAAGTCATTTGCCAGGTTATTTGTATTCGCATTTGGATATCTCGAGAGCAATTGATATTATTTTAGTAATTCCATGGTAGGAAAGGTTGAGTGAAGTTTGTATTTATTTCAATTCTGCTTTTGGTCAAGTCCCTGTTTTTACATTAGAATCCCATGATACAAGTTTTCAAATCATATTTCTATTGATTTTGATCAAATTTTCAATGTTTTTTTCTCTCAACTCGTCCTGCAAGATTCATACATTTTGGGTTTCAACACCATTTTATGTGCATTAGATTCCATTCTTTTATGATTAATTTTGGCTATTAGTATGCTTGATTGCTGGTCCATCAATGTTTTTGATTTTTGGGCAATATTATGGTAGTCTTGGCAACATCTCATGGTCAAGCTGGCCAGTTTTATTGGGAAACATGGATTTGGCTTGTTGGTATCAACTCCAATCAAATCAAACAAGTCAAATGAGGAAGAATAAATGGAGGAGTTTTCTAAAAATATGGGCAAATATGTTGAAAAGGGAGGTAATAAGCTAAATTATTTTTTTTTGTATCAAACATGGTACAGAATAATCCTGTAAGTTTGCAAGATGAAAATTTTGAGGTACAACCGGGTGCAAACTGGTAGAGAAATAGTTGACAGATTCATGAGTACTAGTAGTACTACTAGTGCTCTGTATCTGTGAAGTACCAGTAAACTGGATTGCATGTGTAATAGATTTGGATAACCATGCAGGACCTACTATTGCACACTGCAGAGTTGTCCTACACAGACAGCCCCAGAAAATTTTGTTGTAGAAAAGAAATTTGTACACCAGCTAGGAAGAAGCTGTGATAGGCACAAATATTGTGTACCAGATTTTCCCTGATGTGTAAGTATGTAAATGGGATGCAAATGCTTGTAATCTGATACTCTCATAAAATTGAATGACATACCTGAAAACCAATACTGCTGAAGCATTCTGATTAGATATTAGCAAAAGCAGTATGACAAAGTAAATCAAATAGTAAGTCATTCAATGGTAGGTGAAGGGAAATTTTTGGTGAAGGGTATGCTTGAAGGTATTTTTGGTGGGATGCCAGTTTGAGAAAGCTTGTTTGTCTCTACAACTTTTTGGAGAGGCACTGTGAATGGAGCAATTACTGCCTGTACACAGACTTTGGCAAGGAAGAATTACAAGGATGAGCAAATTAGCTCTTGACACATTGGCTTTCATGCAAGTGAGAGAGTTCCTATCTGACTCTACTACTCTTCTCTGATTTTTACACATAGACAACAAAAAATGGAGCAGTCCCTGGTTTGTTTAGTGGTGATTTGTTCATAACAGAAGGCCATGGTGATGGTATGATGTCCTTGTTCCGCACAATGAATCAGAGCTACAAACACCAAAATACTCCTCAAGAATTCAAGTGTTTTGTACCACATATCTTAGGGGTGGGCAGAGTATCAAGGCATGGCTAATAGCAGTACTAGTAGGGGTAATATTTGGTCTACAACAAGTTGCAGACCAAATATTACCACTGAAGAAGAAAACACCACTATCACAGATCATCCTAAGTCTGAACCCAAAAACAAGTCAATGGAGGCCATTGGTGCTACTATCAGTAATACAAGTCCTCCTAATGTCAAGAGCCACCAGAAACTGGGACAATGAATCACATTTTTAGTTCTGGGTGAGAACCAAAGAAGCAAGAAATGAAAAATAAGTCAAGAAACTAATAGCAGAATTTGTGAGTTGATAGCAGTGCAGCAGAGTATGGTGGTGACAGGATAGATGATTTGGATAGTGTCTAATGGACATAATAGAAACAATATTCTGAGTTTGTTGCTGGTCAAGGATGTTTTTGCAATGATAGTCAATTGCTTTGGTTGCAACATCACCTAAATACAGCAAAGCAATCAAGACAGAAATGATTGCAATGGTCCTGGAGGTTAACAAAGAAAGCATCATTCACCATGGAAGGGGAGATGCACCCACCAGAAGCATTTGATGTAATTTATATTGTACAGAGCAGGCAATCAAAGGTACAATTGACTTGAATTTTTTATCCCAGCACAAGTCTTTAGAACAAAGCAAAGACAGAGCCAAAGTCTACAATTTAATGCATTCCTGTGCAATTTAACTATAGCTGTTCTGGTCTTGAACTAACAGCAGTTGTAACTGGTGTATTGTAGTCCCCACCAACACTTGCATATCAATTGTAAGCACCTGGCTAGTAGAAAAAGGATAAAGAGAGAAATCTAGGAGGAGTCGTAAGGGGGAGTAGGGGAGTAGAGTACTACTATTCAATACAGAGGAGTTATAATAGGAGTATGTAAAACATAGTACTGCAGTGGTTTTGTTGCTTGCCCAGCCTGCTTGTCTACAAGAATCACTTTGTTGCTTCTTCTTGTAGTACCAATTAGAAATTTCCAAAGGTCAGGAACAGAACAATGGTATTGAAGAGACCAATATTGCTGTAGCAAATTGTGATGTAGAATTAAAGTCAAAGGAATAGATCTGATAGTATTTTGAGAGTTGAGCAATTTTAAATCCAGCTGCATTCTTGACTCAAATCAAAAATGTTCTACACTAGTAGTAAAGCAAGGAGGAAAGGAAAGAAGTTTAGGAATAGCTATCATGATAAATTTAGGAATAGCTATCATGATAAATTTTGCAAATTTTGATTTCACTCTACTATAAAGAACAACTCTGCTAGTACTATCAAATATAAAAAGTACATGGGGGTTTGTTACCTTCTTTTATTATTTTTAATACAAGTATTCTGGATGTACTGTTTTGTTTCAATAATAAATCTCTTGTTATTCATAAAACAAATGATACCTACTAGAATGGTTGTCAAAAACTGACAGCTGATAATCATAGTGGGACTTTAAGAAAGAAGGAGAAATAACAATAAGAGAAAAGAGAAGATAGACCATTATCATCAAGTATCAAACAAGAAGCAAACTATCCATTGATCTGAATTGGAAACAGTTTGATACTGAACAAAATGTTAGTATATTTGGGATCTGAATGAAGCTACTACTAGGAGTATTAGTACTGCTTTCTAGTTGGGGAGTTTTACTACTTCTTGTCATGACAATAGTAGTGATACTAGCTAGTAATACTAGTTTCAATACAGCAGAAACACTTTAGTAGTTTCAGTTTGTTTGAACACCAATGATAGAGTACGAGTTTTTGATTGTTGTGTACCCCTCAAAGAAATTATGACCTTGGAAAATACTAGTAGTCCTCAGTAGTCATAATTTAGAGGGATGTGCAAATTAAACATTAGCAGCTTGTTTTCTTGGTCACAGATTTTTGTCACAATCTCAATGGACTCACTTTAATAGGCAGCACAATCTCTGCAGCAGCTGGTGCCAATTACCACAAATAAGCCTGCTTGTAGTGAATTACTACTACTAGTAGTGGTGGTAGCAGTAGTGTGACACTACAAGTAGTACTACTAGTAGTAGTTTACTACTAGTACTACTAATGAAGAATGCATCGTCATGATGAGATGACTCCATGGGTATTATGCTTCATTTCATGGATATTGGGAGATGGTGGCCTCCTGCTGGTGCTTGTCCTGCTGGTGGTGATGTCCACCACCACCAAGAACTTCTTCTTCTTCTTGATCTGKTTGTTCTTCCTCTTCTTCTCTATCATTCTTCTTGTTCTTCTTCTTGCTTCTTGTTGTTGGTGTTGTTGTTGTTCTTCATGTTGTTTTTTATTGGGTGGAAGCCCAAACTGAGCAAAGTTTAGTAGTTGAGCTACTGTATGCCAAAAGTGATACGCCACCAACAKGCTGCACAGTTCTCTATTTTGAATTCCTTACTACATGATCATGTGTGTTATCCAGAAGTCCAACAAGCTCCTGGATTTTTGGGAATGACCTAATGATCAATGATCAATCGTGACTGACTCATCTCATGCCCTGGAATTTCAAATTGGAAGAAACCGGAGGACGACTGCAACGTGATCGAAGGTCGACGATAGAATTTCGAACCCTCTCCACTCTCAACAATGAGAACGGAGGAGCCAACGATACTACCCTTTGTGTCATCTATATATTTTTGAAACGTATTCAAGCATGGGAGCATCATTCAGCACAGCTGGAAACTCTTCGGTTGTATCACGCTGCGACGAAAGGAGGGCGGTAGATAATGGTGCAAATAACCCGCCTCCGATGAGACGGGTGATGACGGTCGAGGAAAGAATGTGGCAAAAGGTACGATCTTCGTTGCGGCAGTCTATCTGAACCTGTGAAAACACGAAACGAGGCATTTGAATCTAGCACGACTATTCTAACGTAAAGGTTCTTATAATATTTTTGACTGTATATTCGAACGAACGAACGAACGAACGAACGACGCCGGCGACTCTCCGACGAAAAGTGCAAGGACGAACCTTTGGTCCCGATAGGATGTGCCGCCACTGCGTACTTCTTGGCATCTGGCATCAAATCGTTTCAAAACCAAGATCCTCGCAGGGGGCAAAAGATGATGCGGCTTCGCGTAGGAGCTCAATTTGCAACCCTAGCAATGTTCGTGTTTTATGTCGGACTGGACAACATCAATTTCGAGATTGCGTAAGTTTTATGTCGAGGGATTTTTGTGTCAATACCAAAAAGATACGATCAATTGTTGTGTACTCATTCCTGATTAAACATTCCAATTGTGGTTCTCAGCCCACAATATCAAAGAGCGAAAAAAGAGGAGGAGGAACGACGACTGAGAGAGCAGCAGCAGTAAGAATGAACTAGAATTCGAACATTTTGTTCGAAAGTATGAAGCTTTTGAGGTTGGGCTGATACGACAAAAATTCGTGGTTTTTAATATGATCGCAAAGCAATGCGACTCGTAGAACCACCATAATATAAAAGAGAAGCTTCGTTTTGCAAATTTCGAGTAAATTCGTCGGAATGGTCCACTAAGACATTTGATCCTAAGCTCCAAACTAGTTCATAATAGTTCTCAATTTCTCCTCGATGCAAGAAGCTGGATGATTTCGTCTTTTTCCAAGCAATCCGATATATTTATCCGCAATTCTCTGGCGACCGCGCGAAGATTCGAGAGAGACATTGTAGTCAACGGAGCCAGAGAGCGAAGATAGTCTCGTAAATAGGGCCTCTCAACGTTTCCTACTTGGACTATTTTCTCGATCATTTCTTCTCCTGTACTGCATTGCGACAAGTCGATGTCGATCTTAGAACCAATAAATCGCAGCTGCGATACACTATACGATGAAAACATGCGTGGCATCAACGCCGAGGCATCTGGGTTACCAGTGATCCCAGCATTTACGAATACATCAACCATGTCTTCCCGTACGATGCAATTTGATAAATCGGCCTGAAGGTCCTTGGCCAGTGTGTGCAGGTCAGTTATCGTGTAGTGATCGAAACTTCTTCGGAGGTCCGTACCACGGTCAACCGAGTCAATGGTAGCCTCCAAGGTTGGGTCACATTTGTCCGTTTCCATCTGAACACAGGAACCTCCGACCGAACCTGTTCTGTTCTCTTCTAGACCAGAGATTTCCATGTCAACTGGTGTGGATTGTGTTTCGGAATTTCGCTGGGTGGGAAATTCTTCCTCCACTGAGTGTTGCATATCCGAATCTGTAGGTAGTGCGTCGGCCTCGCGTCCTGTGGAGTTCTCTGAGGTCGGACTGCCTAGAGTGGTTTGAATGGCGTCGGTGCTTAGGAGACTCTCTCCGCTCTCCTTGTCCATGCCGTGATTCAGATTGGGGAACATCACAATAGGCGATGCGGTTCTATTCTCGTCCATTGTCTCGTTCGCGCCGGGAATGTCTTCTGTGCGGGATACGTCGTCGTTTGGTATCGTTTCCACAATCATAGGATCATCTTCGCTCTGTGGTTCAGTGCCACCCGACGGAGAGGAGCCCGAGGCTTCTGAAGCATCCCACGGTGTCGTCCCGTCGCCGAATGCACTCTCACCGTCATCTGGGGTTTTTCTTTTTTCTCTCTCAACAGATTTTTGCGAAAGTGCGGCATCCGATGGAGATGGGTCGACCGATTTCGTCCCGTCATCGGTCGCAATCTCGCTTTCCTCGGGTTCGGACTGTTGGCTTGTTCTAGCCTCCGTGGAAGTAGGGTCGGGCGCTTCCGTTTCGTCGAGCGATGTCTTGTCCTCGATTGGAACGTCACCGTCCTCCGGTTTCGATTCGACTAGAAGGAGGCGTCCACTGTTCTCAAAAACCGTAATCATGTCTGATTTTTCAACGACATCTTCGCGCCTGAAAAACACCCCGGCATTTTCCATAGCTTTTTTAAGTTCTCTTATCTTCATGCGTTTTAGGACTTCGAGTTCGTACTCAACGGGTTCCGGTGACGGAATAATGACGATCCAGTTTTCTTTGATCAAGTCTTGGATCAAATCATTCTTTTCAAAGACGCCGGAAAGCGGCCGCCGGAGTAGTTCCAAAAGGCCAGAGACGGGCATTCGCTTTAGCTCGTGCATTGCGTACCTCGGTTTCCTCAGCTTCATTCTCTCCTTTCGACCGGCTTCGTAGCTGGGATCGTCTGTGGGAAGCTCGTAACGGCAGACCGGGCAGGTACACATATGGTTGACCAACCAGTCCACGATGCACGACTTGTGAAAGATGTGGGCGCATGGAAGTCGGATGACTATTTCGTCCAGTTTGTTGTCTTCCAAGCAAATACAACATTCTCTATTGTTGGGATCGATGAGATCCTCCGGCGAAACGCGTATCATTGGGAGTTTACGGACCGCTTTGAGGGACGCGGGGGGAGCACGCCGGGTAGCAGGTGGCGGTGATGGACGTCGCTGTTCGGTCCGATGCGGGCCCTGGGATTGTTGCTCCGCCCGGTTTGGACCCTGCGGTCGTGTCCGTCCCCGGCGTCGCCGATTCTGGCCGAATCGATCCGTCACGTCGTGAATGGTGTTCTCGAAAGCATTTCTGGTGTTCTCGAAGGCGTCCCGAACGCCGGCAAACATTTTGCAAGTGCGGCTTGGATTTGTTGGTGTTACGAAGCAAGATTATTCGTTTTCCTAATTACAGTACGAGTATGCAAAATCGAAGCAATCACCGATCGAGGAATAAATGTGGATACGGTACCGTACCCTACGCAGTCCTCTCAAAAATGTTGGTAACGATGCCTTGCAGTACCGTGACTACCGTAGTACGGGCCTATTTTTACCGTAAAACACACGGATGATTCTTCGTTGTCTTTTCAGATCGTCGTTCGCACGGTACGAACCAGTTCGTACCAGTAGCGCACAATGGGCACCAGCGAGATGGCCTACCGTACATCACCGACAGAAGTGGAGTTCTCCTCATTTTGAATCGTGTTTGAAACGTGTGATCTCACCGGAGCAGAATCATGGCGACGGAAAAAATCTTCGTGCCGAATTACTGCCAGCATTATTGGGTACGAACTACTAGCTAGTATGTACGTACCCTACTCATAGAACGAGGAAACGAACCATAATGAGGGTGGGACAGGTCTGGAATTGGTACAAATTCTACATGGCTCTACGGAGAGAACCATACACCTCATTTGCCTTCACAACTTTAACCTGTCTTGAAATAAAAATGATGTTATCAAAATATTTTCTACTCATTTGTGCATAGGAAGCTACTACTACTTGTGCAAGTTGCTGATACAGAGGACATACAGAGGACTCTAAACCTTGTTTGCCAAGAATTGGTGATCTCCTGAGACTTGTTCTTCACGACCATGATAGTAGTATTCTTGTTGTTCTTCTTGTTCTTGTTGTTCTTTCTGTTACCTGGATCCCCTGTTCTTCTTTTTATTATTAAAGTTCTTATTCTCCTGCAGGAAAATGTTACTTATAGCTCTGTCTGGAGGGTGAGATAAAACCTTGTGCTGGTGGTGGTGGTTGTTTTCTGACTACTACTGAAAACTGCACATTTTTATTGCAGTACTACTAGTAGTAGTACTCATAGTAGTACTATCCTATTCCAGATTTGTGCCACACATTTGCCTTCCTACTGGTACTACTAGAAGCACTAGCACTAACACTAGTACTACTAGTATGCCCATTGTCTTTACTAGGATGAACTTCCCACCAGAAGTTGTGAAGTCTTGAAAGTCAGGATGAAAGGGACTATTGGGAATAAAATATGTTTTGATTAAATCAACAGATGTTTTATGAGCTGACAGTTGCAAAAGTGATTTCCATTATTTTTGAAAAAAGAGTCAATTTTCATGAGAAGCTTCAAGAATTATTGATGTAAGAGTTTTAGTACAGTGACTTGTGTTGGTCCTCCAAAGTGAGATGGTTGTGGTTTTCAATTGTGGGAGTTAAAAGAAAAGCATAATTGCACAAATGTGGGATTTAATTTTTAATGTGTGCATGGGAGTTAAAAATTATAATGGGTACGTTAACACTGAATATATTTCAAAAGATAAGAATTTGTGTCTTGAATCAAGGTTGTTTTAGATTTCGAAATGATCGCAGAAATTTTGGAACATTGACAATGGTGAGTATTATGAAAGCAATGAAGTGTGATTTTGGTACAGTCAGTGAATGTTGATGTGTTGTTGGTAGTTGTTAATCTGTATGTGCAATGACAGTTTGTTGTTCAAAGGCTTGTGGGCAATTGCATGTGGTAGAGTTGGGTGAGGAGAGAGGAGCACACCTAAAAATCACCATGGTGGTGGTGATTTTTATTGGAAGGGTGTCATAACCTGTGGGAGTGACTATCTCATAGTGATGTAAATCAAGTGCTAGAAGAAAAGTGAGTCAATGCTCTTATTGAGGATTGACAAACTATTAAATCTAAGGTCAATCAGAATGAAGATCAAATGATGTGTGTGAATCAACTCAGTCAAGTCAATTGTGTGGATCCATAGGATCAAATGAGTTGTGAATATAGAGTGTGTATGAATCATAGATATGTACAATATGTATATATCATAGATATGGATCATTGCAATCATACCCACAATCTGATATCCTACAGACAGCATCTTTATCTGGTTTCTCCTCCAAGGGGCAGTGCCTCACTCCAAAGAGCAGTGCCTCACACCAAAGAGGTTTGGTGGAGGTGTGACAAGTTCTAAGCATACTACTACTGGTGACAAGTCAATTAAGGTACAAGGCTGAATTCAGGAGGGGACATAGTGGAAGGTTTTGGTTCACAGTTTGGATGGACAAGAGCCATGCTGGCATGATCATTTCCAAGTACACTCCATGCCAAAAGAGAACCCACAGCACAGTGAAAAAGGAGACAAGGTTGGTGTTGGTTGTATTGGTTGGTGTTGTACACAGATGTTGGAATCAAGAATATCTTGACTGGAATCTGTTCCATAAGAGATACTACTGGTAGTAGAACTGGTGATGCATGGAGCAGAGGCTGGGGAATCTTCAAACCCAGTATTTAGCATACAATCCAGCCAGTGTTGTGCTTCAATGTGAAGGTCTGGGTTGGGTACTAGGGGCTGGGGTTATTGTCATAAAAGAATGTTGGAAACAACAATATCTTGATGACCAGAAGATACAGTTTCTAGAGGAACTGGGGATGAATCTAGCAGATAAGGAATGCAAAAGGCTAGGAACAGGATAGGAATAACAGTAAAGGCCGGGATATGGATGTTATCAAAGCACTTGATTGTCTTTAATGGAGATCAGGGAGTTGGATTTCCCCCTTTGGAAATTGGGTGTCACCATGGTTTGGATGTCAGAGGGAACAGATCACCAAGTATGCATATATGTTGGAATATGTAGGAATTCTACTAGGTGATAATTTTTGGAACAGAAGTGTAAGTTTGTGCATTTCAAAAATTGGTTTTGAAAATTATGAATCTTTGCTCATCTAGCACTACTAGTGGTAGTATTATTGGGAAGGCCAGGAGTACTTTCAGCCTTCAAGTAGTCGAAGCACCAAGGAGCTGCATTGGAGCTGCAGAGAATGAGGACTAGTAGCACTAGTCCTCTATAGCATTGTCAGTGGTGGTGCTACCACTACCCATACTACTACCAACAAGCAAGAAGGAGGAAGGGAAGCACCATGATGAAGATGATGATTGTGCTGCTGGCCCACCAACAATATCTGGAAGAAAGTTTTAGTTCTAGTAGTTGTGACTTCTTCTTGAATAAGGATAATGAACTAGAAGATCTTTCCCAATGCTACAACCATCCAGTCATTACATCAGATTTGAGAGCTTGAAACACAACTGGATGTGCACTTTGGTATGAAGAAGAGAAGAACAAGGGAGAGTGTGAGGAATCATGGTGCTGATAGTAGTAATAGTAGAACTTCTTTTGCTGGCACTTGTACTTTTTACTGCACTATGCTCAGCATGTAGATGATATTTTTTGTAACATGTTGATAAGGCTGATTAGAACAAGAGGAGGCAGAAAAAGAGGCAGCAAGAAGCAAGAAGCAAGAAGAACCCTAAACAATTGTTGTTGTTCTTCTCTCTGACTACTACTACTAGGATCATACTGACGGTAGGTACTACAACAAATTCCTGCTGGGGTGCATTACAAGTACAAGTAAGGAAAGTTCGGACTGCAAGAAGTGACACCAGTAGTTGTTTTCTGAATGGTGTTGAAGTTGGAATAAGTGGAAGTGATATTTCGATCACATTCATCTAAAAAACAAATATACTTGTGACACCGATGTTATGTGTGATCTGCTCGCCTTGTTTTTATGGTAATGATAGAGCAGAGTGATGGTTTCGTAACTGCTCGCTGGAACTAAACAATTTGGTTGAGCAAAAACGAAAAGGTCCACTCCGGGAATCGAACCCGGGACCTCCTGCACCCGAAGCAGGAATCATGCCTCTAGACCAAGTGGACAACATTTCTTCCGGACACCCATTGGACAATACTCTTTACAAACTTAGTTCAAATATCAACAGGGAAATAACACGGTACCATACCAGGTACGGTACATTAATACAGAATTTACGGCTCTTCGTTTGCGTACGGTACTCGTATCCGCAGCACGCAGTCTAATAAAAAAGCATGTGGTCGAGTGTGTGTTGATCGTTGTTTAAATTTAAATTGCTTCATGCGAGTACGAGTACTAGTACCGGTACCGGTATGTGATTTGTTTCTTTCATCATTTACGTCATGATTGGCTATTTATCTCTACATTTCCGTAACTATTCTTGACACAAAGAAGAACAAGATCTATTCCTTTTTCGTGCTGGGTGGTTACGGCAAGCAGAAGATACCCTGATAACACGATTCTAATACCTGCAGTGTACCGTAGAGAAGAATTTTCTGAGATTTCTTCTTCGAAGACTGATTGAGAGGAATAGACCTGTGTTTGACATCATGTTGAGCAAACGAGAATTGGGGGTCTTGTGATTTCTTCTTTTGCCTTTGGAACGCGGAGCAAAGAGAATTGTGTGCTGCAACTGTATCGCAATTGGATCACGCAATTGCTGTAGTTTATAACTTGCACTTCAGAAGCCCACGATCTCTTGAACCTACTGTCGACTTTTCGAACGGCGTACCGCGTCGAATTGCATCACGCCCCATCACCATGAGACAAACTCAAGAAAAACTGCAGCACCGGCGGCACCGACCAATGTACCTGGCTCCATCGGCAGTGGTTCTACAACAATTTTCGTCGGGATCGAACGATTCTTCAGACAATGTGGGTTTTGATTGCGGAGATGATCGGGACAATGACGGATGCATCGACGATCTACGAATACCACTCTTTGTAAAGATCCCGATGGACGACAGGTTCAGAATGCCGATTCTTTCACCACCATCTTCGAATGGATCCAGAGCGAACAATGAGAGTGTACCTACGTCATCGACTTCCATTCCGGAACAGCAACCACAACCTTGGGCCTTTCCGCCAACACCCCCACAACACCAAGGACATCACGAGCCGTCGTTCTCGTCGACACGAATTGGTCCGTTTTCAGAGAGATTCATCAGGTTTTTCACTGCACTGTACTACTTGGTTTCTGATTTCATCACGTTGATACTCGTTTGCGTGGTTGGTCTATTTTTTGACGTGAAGGTCCAGGTTGTCAATCACAGATCCCACAGGCGGCGTGGACGGATCTCGCTTCGAAATAATTTGTACCGAGCGGAAGACCGGCGCTACAATTCGTCCGATCTCCTTCGACCGCTGCCTCCGGAAATGGACGAAAGGCCACTCTTGATGGAAGACGACATGGTGTGACCTCACGGGTATAAATGGTAAGAGCTGCTGCTGTTGGTGTCACCTAATACAGTACAAAAAGTTACTGAATAGGACGCAACTACAAATGCTCTTAGGTGTAAGGAAAATCTCTTTCATACGGGGGGAAATGTCTGCGGGCTACAAACATACAGCAGAGAGCGAAACTTCACGATTTTCAATTTCAATTATTCATCAGAAATAATCCTTGGGGTAAGGAATCGATTTTTGATAGTTGTAAAAGTACTGAATTATTCGTTGTACCTTAGCAAAGTGGCAAATATTTACTTGCTTTCACTGAGAGTAATCCCCAATGCATACACTTGAAACAAAACGTGCAGATAACGAATGGCGTTTTGATGAAACAAAATGAAATGAATTTTCGTCGGTTTGATCGCAGAAGGTTATTGGAATTCAGCTACACAGTATCCGCCAGGTCACGGGTCGGAATCCGGAACCGGGGACGATCCCGTCGTGTTTGAATTGGTTGCTTTGTAGGAAGAATCTCCGGTTTTTTGTCTCTTGTGCACCTGCACCGGTCCCTCCGGAATCATTTCTGCMGCTGCCTTGAGGACAGGAATGCAAAGGTGGGGGTAGTTTTTCATATCTTCTTCGAACGTTGTATTTCCGGTAACTTGGCGAAGGTTGGCCATGATAAATTCGATGCACGCTCGCGACAACCTTTGGGCATTGAATTCCTCGGTAGCCCCATACATCTTAGCTACGGTGTGGATATACATATGATGGCGAATCAGTTCGTGTTCCACCAGACGTTTGAGATCTCGAAGAAGCCATAGGTCGGAAAGATGCAGAATCGAAAGCAAGTCTTCTGTAGAGATCGAACCAATCTTTTGGATGCGGTTTGTGTAAATGAATTCCAGCATGTAGGTAATGTGTTCCGGCGAAAAGCAGTAATCGACGTTGATGGTACAAGCACCCGATTCCTTGAAAGCTACTTTGTCGCCCTTGGCATCCGACGAAGACGCCGCATTTTTCCTAAATAGTGCTTTGAAGTATTCTGTTCGAGCCGTCAGGATACATTTATGAGCACGAATTTCCACAACATTGCTAGCCCCCCCCTCCGCTTCGCTTTCGTCCGCGTCCATGGCGTCGACCGGATGGACCAAGAAGACGGCATCCATGTGTTCCTCGTCATCGAGAAGATCCCTCATATCCCGAAAGAATTCATCGTCGTCCGCTGCTGCCTCAGGTGGCTCGGGCTTTCTGCGTTTTCGAACCATGATTGTATCCCCCCTTTGAAGTTGCACCGTCTCGGGGGTGTCCTCGTTTTCTAATGGATTCACAAAATAGTATTCCAGATCGTCTTTCCTCAGTCCGTGGTACTTAGCGTAGTGGCGGAAGAGAGACGAAAATCTCTGTGTCTTGAGCATGAGACAGGAGTAATTGGTTTCTGCAGTTACCCGACGAATCGTATTTTCGGAACCAGTCAGATACAAATCTTCTTCGGCCTGAAAGAAATAAAAGACGTTTGAGATTTCACAAATGACAACTGTGTACAGAAAAGCGTCCCTAAATATCATATGGACAGGATTCCTGTTCGTGTTGCAACACTGACCTTTACAGTGAACTCGACGTGTTCGTTCATGTTATTGCTTCCCCCGCCCCCTCCTTGTCGTCCATTGTTGTTTGCCATTCTGCTTGTCTTCCTTTCTTGCGTTTCCCAACGGTCTATCCTTCCTCGAAACTTTAAAGGTCAATCCCAGAAGGAATCCTATGGTTTTTGTCGGTGCGCGTTGAAGGTCAAGGAACACAGGACTGCCTTTGTTGGCGGAGGTATTGTATTACCAGTCTGTTATAATGTGGCGTTGGACCAAATCGTGTGTTGTGTGTTGTCTTGATCGAATGCCAAAAATGCGCTACGCTCAATCTAGCACGAGTCTTGTAGTAATCCTACGAGTACTGTACTCGTACTCGCGTTAGGAGTTCCCTCGGTGCGATCGTTACGGAGTCGCGAAGAGGCCCGAGGAATGGTTTGGTTTGCCGCCGTTTTCACATGTTTTTTCAAATTTGGAGATGGTTGTCAATCAAAAATTTCATTTTGTTCATTTCTTGTACGGTTCGTACCGTACGTACCGTACGAACCTCCATCCGTAGAAAGTAGGAACTGAATCCATTATACGTACCTTACGTATGATATGAAAAGTAAGTACTCATGTAGCAACGCCCACTGGTAAGCACGTGCTACTAAAATACACGAATTTCGATTTTGCGCGTCATGGTTCGTACAGCACCGTATTTATTTCAGAATTTTTCACGGATCTTTTTGTTCCACCATTTCTTAGTCGCGCTAATCATCCAAAAACAACGTGATGCGTGAAACCTGCATGACTCACTCCCACTCCCAATGCAACACAAACTGCCGTCTCCAGTCGCTGCTGCATGCATATTCGTACTCGCACTGGTACTTGTACCGGTTCTCAAAACAAAATTCGTTTATTCACGCGATAGTCCACAGAAACAAGTTGTCTGGATCAGACAAAAACCATCAACCGAGATAAAAAGACGAGTCTTCGTCGCTCCAACGTTTATTCCATCCGAAGAATCATGTTTGCCATCAAGTCCGTTGCTTCCGTTCCTCCGGCTGCCGCTCGGCGTCTCGCCAGCAAGTCGATTCGGTCGTTGTCATCTGCCGCTTCGTCGTCCGGTGCTTACCTGAACAAGGGTCTGAAAGACCAGGATCCTGAGCTTCTTGGCTTGATCGAACAAGAGAAAGCACGGCAGCGCAACTCACTAGTCCTCATCGCGTCCGAAAATTTCACGAGCAAAGCCGTCTTGGAAGCCCTGGGCTCGGTGCTATCCAACAAATACAGCGAAGGGTACCCCGGAGCGCGTTACTACGGAGGAAACGAAAACATCGACCAGGTTGAATTGCTCTGTCAGAAGCGCGCCCTAGAAGCCTTTAACCTGAACCCCGAGGAATGGGGCGTGAACGTCCAATCCCTGTCGGGATCACCCGCCAACTTTCAGGTGTATACGGGCCTTTTGGAAACCCATGATCGCATTCTTTCCCTGGATCTTCCGCACGGAGGCCATCTGTCCCACGGGTTCCAAACCCCTACCAAAAAGATTTCGGCCGTCTCGAGATATTTCGAATCCATGCCCTACCAGCTCGATCCATCGACGGGCACCATCGATTACGACCAAATGGAAAAGAGCGCGGAACTCTTCCGACCCAAACTCATTGTCGCCGGAGCCTCGGCCTACGCTCGCTTGATCGACTACGAACGCATCCGAACGATTGCCGACGGCGTCGGGGCGTATGTTCTGGCTGATATGGCGCACATTTCCGGTCTTGTTGCCGCCGAGGTCATCCCTTCCTGCTTCGATTACGCGGACGTCGTGACGACCACCACGCACAAGTCTCTTCGGGGACCCCGCGGGGCGATGATCTTTTACAGAAAAGGACAAAAGGGAACCGATAAGAAGGGAAATCCCATCATGTACAATCTAGAGGAGAAAATCAATTTTGCGGTCTTTCCGGGATTGCAGGGCGGACCCCACAACCACACAATTGGTGCCCTCGCGACCTGTTTGAAACAGGCCAACACCCAAGAATTCGTGGAATACCAAAAACAGGTGCTCAAGAATTCTTCTCGCCTCGCGACCGAGTTGATTGATAGAGGTTTCGAACTGGTTAGTGGCGGAACAGACAACCATCTTGTCCTGGTAGATTTGAAATCATCCCGCCAGATCGACGGAGCCCGTGTCGAACGGATTCTGGAGCTGGCGTGCATCGCCACCAACAAAAACACCATCCCCGGAGACAGATCGGCTCTGAATCCCGGTGGCATTCGAATGGGGACGCCGGCACTAACCTCTAGGGGACTGTTGGAGGACGACTTTGCCAAGGTTGCCGAATTTTTCGATCGGGCGGTTGCCATTGCCGTCGATTTGAAGAACACGGACGAGGGCAAGAAAATCAAGGGATTCCGACAGATGTGCACCGTTGGACCATCGGTGCATCCTGACTTGGTGGCTCTGCGAAAGGAAGTTTCGGAATTTGCATGCCAATTTGCAACGGTTGGGTTCGAGGAGAGCGAGATGGAATTCGAAGGAGAATACAATGTGGACTTTGTTGCCTAGAAACGAACAATGCATTGCAGTACTCAAAGCGATGTCAATAATTGAATCTACGGTAGGCTGTGGGTAGATTTACTATAGTTTTTCGTAGCGGTATTTATTATTTGGTAGAGCGTGTCTGCCGCGAAAGGAACATGGACTCCGTTGAACTGTGCCAGAATACGCAACGCACTTTTAATTTCATTAATCGAAACAGCAAATCGCAACTTTAATCGTACCAAAGATAAAAAAATGTAACTTTATTTTAAGGAATTGCGTAACTTCGACTATGAATTCCTACGATGGTTTTCATTGAGAAAGCGCTCTTCTACTATGCTAGTAGTTTTCCTCTGTTGACTAGTGACGCTCTTAGACTAGACGAGACGAACCAGAAAATTAGTAGTTTTCAATTGCAGCTACACAGTCACCAACTGTTGCAGCTCCCGATGCCAAACGTTCTGTGATTTCGGTTACGGTTGCACTCTGACGTCGTAACAACACATCTGCCTCGGCATAAGCCCATTTCAACATAGCTTCCTTCTCTTCCGGCCCTTCTTCTAGCCACCACAAGTCTTTTTCGTTGATCAAACTAGACTTTTCTAGTCTTGACAAGAAGCCATCTGCTTCGCGGGGATCCGATTGAATCAATTGGGGGTGTTTCACGTTCTCCATCGCAACCGGAGCCATAAGCCAAACCAGAATTTTCATGATGCCATTGTTTGTTAACAGAGGATCCAAGTCATTATCGGGTTGTGAAGATTCTGCTGCCATCACTGCAGCCTCCAAGGCATTGGGGCGAAACGAAAAACACGGTAGACCCAGAGTATAAGCGGCAAAGAACGCTGCGGCTTCACATTCACATTCTCTTTCTGTATCAACCTGTATCAGTCGATTGAATCCTTTCACGGTCGTGCCCGTCAATTGTCCAGATCCTAGACCCAGCGGCAATTCCTTAGGCAGTTTTTCCCCGACATCTTTTGCGAAAGTATTAGTACCGAACTTAATCAAATCATAAAAGTTGTCCAATGTACCAACCAGCACAATGAGAACCCACAAAAAACTCGTAAATGGAGTGATTTGTTCAATGTCAAGTACACCAGCTACCCAGCAGATTCCTAACACAGTAGTTACTGCAAGGGCACTGCTTATTTCAGTGCCTCTTTCATCCGTTGGGACATCTGCCAATGCGGCTAGACGCTCTGATCTAGTTTTTGTTGTTCCATCTGGACACTTGACTTTTGTGTTGGCGGTAGTAGGCAATGGGATGATTTCTCGTTGTAAACTTCCGTACTGGGAGACACTTCCATTCTTTGCAGACAGGCTTACTATCTTGGCCATAGTCTTGGAATCTTTTGCAGCAGCTGCCGCCTTTTGTATCAGACATTTTTATTGAGAATGAGTTTCACAAAAGCAGTCAATGCACGTTAGCTGTGGATCCTGGCAAACGAAAAAGCCATCTAACAACCCAACGTTGAGGACACAACAAAATTTCATCAGGGAAAAGTACTCACGTCAACCAAAGCCATCAAAGAACGGCTACTGGCAGACACCCTTCTCGAGTTCATCTCCTCCAAAAGGTTTATCGAATCTTGGAGAGCGACGATAACCTCGTCCCCCGAAAGCGATGGCTCGTCCAAGATTTTTGCGCATAGACCGGTTAAGACAGCATCATACTGGTCACTTTCGTCGAGATTTGAAAATGCAGAAGCCAGTTGCGATTGCAAGGATGAACCCGCTGCCACCAAGCCTTCCGTGAAAGTCTCCGGACCGTCCTGATCGTTTGTCGAAAAAACCTCAACGGACCTGAAGTGCCTGGGTGTAGGAGTATGAAACCCATTACTGCCCACCAAGGCGATCATCATCACCGCCACTCGAAACATCATCATTCCTTCGTTCGCCAACGATCTTGTCGTTTTTTTAAAAAAGTATGGGAGTTCGCCACAGAATCCAAGGTGGAAGCTTGTTGCCTATTGTAATACTCTTGTCGAATATGGAGTACAATACCTCAGAGCTGTTCGAGAGGATTATGCACTAGGTCTTTGATGAGAACCGTTACAAGTATGAATGTATTCCAAAGTCACGTATCAATCACTATCAAATATTTAAAAAATTGTCACGGTTCGGATTTCTCGTTAACCGATCTTCAAGTCTATGGAGGCAAGTACGAGTTACCGATACGAGATTTCTGCCGTAGGAGTATGCTATGTTTAGAACGTTACCCTGCCGTGGTGCATTTAGTACGTCGTACGTCGTAATTAGGAGGGGACAAAATTATTTAGAGGTACGTACTGCTACTAATAGTACGAGTAGCCAGTAGTAGTATTAGTAGTAGTAGTACAAGCATTACTACTACTAGTAGCTAGCAGTAATACTAGTACTAGTAGATGTTGATGCATGTCATTCCATTCTCCATATATTTCTAGGGCTGTTGAGGGCCAGAGCTTGTTGTCTGCTGGGCCTACTACTAGTAGTACTAATATCTTTTTCCCCAACAACAAGAAGAAGCAAGAATACTAATGCGGGGCCGCAACAAAAAAGCTCAAGAACAAGAAGTCGCTCAAGAACAAGAACAACAAGAAGAAGAACAACAAGAAGAAAAAGAACAAGAACACCAACAACAACAACTAGTAGTAGTAGTAGTACTAGTAATACTGGTGAATGAAGAAGTAGTAGTTGTACCACTAGTAGTAGTAGTAGTAGTAGTAGTATATCAAATCCGATTTCTTAAATAAAACACAGACAGGGGAAACAAAACCACATCAATTACTACTACTACTCTGCACAGAATTCAAAGATCACCCAAATTTGGGACACTACTCCTGCTCATTTACAGGGACAATTCAAGCTTGTTCTTGCTATCTTGTGGCAAAAACTACGCTGGTATAATTAGTACTGTATTTTATTTCTTTGGACGAGTACCAATCTCTTTCCACGTTTTTGGATCGTACAAATCCTTTCCCTCTTTCCATGCTTTGATTCTTAGAGGGCCAACCTTTGCCAGTATTCGTTGGAATATACTTGGAAAATGACGATTGATATACAGGCCGGCCAACGTTGGTTGTTCGGCTATCCATTGCTCGCCACTCCTCAGTAGCAGACTACTTATGTATAGCCTCGTACACCGATCTATTGACATCTTCAGTTTTTTACTCTTTGCTAGGTGCTCTTTCCCATCGGGGCTGGATTCATTGACGTTATGTCTGGAATCATTTCCTCCGACATAACTGCTATGGAAAGAAGTATCTATTGTACCAGGACAGATGAGTTTTATATACAACCATGGATTCTCTGCACGAAGTGTATTGAAATACCCATGAATTGCGTGTTTTGAGGCAGCATACGACGATGAAAGAGGCAACCCAACGTGTGCACCGACAGAAGATGTTATAACGAGCTTCTGTTGTCCTCTACCCTTCTTCAAAATTCCACGGTCTAAAAGCTTTTGGGAAAGATAGATTGGTGCCAATGCATTTATTTGGAAAATTTCGGTCGTAGTCGAGGAAGATGTAGTATCTGCTGTTTTGAGCTGGCCCCTTCCTGCGTTCAAAACAGCGAAATCGAGAGTTTTGTCCCCCAGTATTCTTTCTAAATCAGATAATGCCTTGTCGAATTCATCTTCCTTTGAAGTCATATCTAGAGGAAGGATCGATATTGAGCGTTCGTTACTCATGTTGGGGGCACAGGCATCCTTCACAAGTTGTAGGCGCTCAGAAGATCGCCCCGTCAAAATCAAGTTCGCTCCGTATCCACAGGTCCGAAGCGCTATTTCTTTACCAATGCCACTGGATGCACCCGTTATCCAAATAGTCTTGCCTTCAAAGAAAGCATTCAAGCGTTGCTCGCTGACGAAGAATTTATCAAAAAGGTAAAGTGACGGGTTTGCATCCATCGAAGTGGCGAAAGCTAGCGCGAACGCAGCAGAACCTACCGCTACTGCATTTGCTACAAACGTTGCGATCATTGTTGTTGCAAAAAGTGCTTTCTTTGGCCGTCTATTCAACTTGTGACTTTTTCATCGAGGTCTAAGGTTATGAAACTGACCGAATCAACCAAAAAACACTTTTGAGTTATCGAAGATTTGAAGTGATGAGTTCCTGTATCGAGCATCGAAGATATGAAGTTAAGAGCACTTTGTACGGTACATGTTCGTATCGTATTCTTACTAGTACTCGTACGTACTCGTACGCTGCTCGTACGTACGAACGTCCCGGTACTGGGTACGTACCATACGAGTTTGTATCGTACAATTTCCCTTCTGTGGGTCTCAGTTCTAGCCCAGGACCGGACTTAAAACAAAAGGTATGAAATCTGAAAAAAGACATGATTTGAAACTCTTCTAGCAGGGGAAATAACATCCCTTTTTAAATCCTGTAATGGTCCAGGTAGAAGCGAGATACTATGGTCATGAAATATGCATGATTATTAGACCAGTGACAACGACTATTTGTTGGCAAGAATAGAGAATTTCCGCTCCTGCGCTAAATTCCTTCCTAGAACTACCTTACGATGGTGAAAATGAATCATTTAGAAACAAAACCGAGCAATGGATAATTTGGAAGTGGTCAATTTTTCAAAATAAATCTTAGAATTATGCTTAGACTAAAGAGCAACACATAGTTCTCGTTTAGCGCTAGTAGCTCACGGGACATAATCCCCTTGGAGGTAGCCATGAATTGAATTCTTTCATGCAACCATTACAATTTTGATAACTGTCCGCGTCGTTTTTTCATCAGGCCGAGATTGAAAAATTCCTCCACGGTCAGATCCATCATTACGCACTGTTTCAGAAGATTGCTAGGTCTGTAGTAGTCCGTGTCGGGAAATTGTCTTGAAAAATCCTGTAGACGTCTCAAGACATATTTGAGACCAACATCATGGTCTGCCCAATACATTGGTCCTCCTCTATAGATTGGCCAGCCATATCCATAGACATACACAACATCGATATCGGATGGCTGCATTGCGATCCCTTCTTCTAAACACTTGAATCCTTCGTTGACCATAGGAAATAGAACCCGCTCGATCATCTGCTGATCAGAAAAGGGGGCGCAGCCGCTCTTTGCATATTTGCGGATCAGGCTGTCAACTTCTTTACTGGGAAGTGCTTTTCTCCCTTTTCCAATATTCTTATCATAATCATACCAACCCTTCAATCATATCAGGGATATAAAATACATCAAATATGAATTGAGAATTGGATTTCGGCATGCGCGAATTCCAGAATAGTCTTCCATTTCTTAAACTTACCTTGCCCGTCTTCTGACCTAAACGTTTGTAATCCGATACAATGACATCCGCAACTTCAGGATATCTGGCTGGTTTATTCTTCGATGCTTTGCCACTGCTGCTTACCCAGCCTCTTTGCTTTCGAATATTGTATCCAATATCGAGTCCAGCCAGGTCTGCCATTTGGAAGGGCCCAAGGGCAATTCCAAATTTTAGAAATGCTTTGTCAACTGACGATACCGAAGCGACCCCTTCCTCCAGCAACAACGTTGTTTCGGCACCATAGGATATCAACAATCTATTTCCGACAAAGCCGTCACAATTCCCAACGACAACACCAATCTTACCGATTCGTTTTGTGAGGTGCTGCATCACACAGACCGTTTCCATTGATGTTGCACTCCCACGCACAATCTCTACTAGTTTCATAATGTGTGCAGGTGAAAAAAAGTGCCATCCCGCAAAGAGTGGACGGCGTGAAAGAGAAACACTGAACATGGAAAGAAGAAAGGTACAGTAGTACATAATTCCGTTCTTCGTTAGGTCGATCCATTCCTTGGTGGAAAATAGAGAACCAACATTATTCATGTAATCAAATCCTACTTACCTCGACGCCATTTCGTCGACATCTAAAGTCGAAGTATTGCTCAAGAGAATACAACCAGGGGGAGTAATTTTGTCTAGTGTTCCGAAAATTTTCTTCTTGATGTTCATATTTTCAATGACAGCTTCAACGACCAACACACAACTAGACAGATCTTCGAATTTTTGGGTGGGTTTCAACGACTTCATCATGTTTTCGGCATTTTTCTTCGATATCCGTCCTCGTTTGAGGTAACGTTGAATCGTGCCTTTCAAGAATGCAACACCTTTGTCGAGTGACTCTTTGTAGATATCGACTAAATGCACGGTAAATCCCGCCTGCAAAAGAACCATACAGATACCACTCCCCATCAGACCAGCTCCTACAACAGCAGCAGTCTGATTTCTAAACGATTTCTGCAGAAGCGGGTGACTCTTGTTTGATATGCTTCCAAGCATTTTCCCGGCCTTGCGAACCGCAAAAAAGGCGTGTCGTCGAGCTACGCCCTGCTTTCCAGAGAGTGTCTTGAAAAATTGGGCCAATTCAATGGCCGAGCCTTCCTCAATAGGCAAGCTGCAGGCCTTCACAGCTTCGAGGGCGGCCCACACGCTTTCTCCGCCCATTTCGACAGGCGGGAGTTTCGCAGCAGCTCCCTGAACAATCATCTCCAATTCTTGTTTCGATTCTTTGATCGCTCTGTTACCCACACATCTATCGCCAAGGGGCATGAGTTCGGCCCAGCTGGCAAACTTCTTTGCAGCAGCCAGCACAGTTCCCTCAGAACGTGCCGCGACGTGATCTACAAGACCAACATTTTTGGCCTTTTTCGCTCCGATTGACTTCCCGGTCAAAATCATTTCGAGCGCCTTGACGACCGTCACCAATCTAGGAAGCCGCTGCGTGCCCCCCGCACCCGGGATGACCCCGACATTGACCTCCGGAAGCCCAAATTTGCCGCTTTCATCGGTGATGCGATAGTGGCAACTCAGGGCGACTTCGAGACCTCCTCCAAGAGCATTCCCAGAAATTGCTGCTACTACTGGCTTGGGAAAGTTCTCGATCCTTTTCACGACTTCGATAAGAGGGAATGACTTCTTCTTGGTACCACCCGATATAGGATCATCCACGAGCTGCCCGAATTCTGTTAGATCCGCGCCTGCAGAGAAATTACGGGATCCTCCGTAAAGAATCACACTTCGAATGGAGTCGTCGGTTTCCGCTTTGTCTAAGGCTTCCCAGATTAATCGGCGGAGGTTTAAACCAAGCGGATTCAGCGGGTTGCTCGCGGCGGAAGAGAAGTTTACCACTAGTGTCGTATTGGATGCAATCATCGTTCTATCAAATCCAAAATATGTATGGAACTCAACGATTACCCCCTCACCAAATTCAACTCGAGAGCAACATTGAACATTCAAAGGATGCTTCCATTTTGGATAGTTGCCGCGTTGGTCGCGCAAGAATCCATCGATGGCAGTATGTGTACGAGTACTCCGGGCCCACGGTCCGGTACACTGGTTCATTCCCGTGCGTACGCAAACAGTTTCTACCGGTACGGTGCAAAAACTACTGAGTTAGCGCCAGGAAGGTGGTGAAAAGAATGTACTGGGTAGAAGCTACTGTAGTAATCAATGACAGCACTGTGGCTGTTTGTTGTTTCTGAAATAAGAATGGAGGAATTCATTCATTTGTTGTGCATGTTGGGTATTGTTGTTGGTGGTGCTGGTTTTTGTAAGGAGAAGAACAAGAGGTGATGTTACAAATAGACCACCACTAGTAGTAGTAGTAGTAGTAGTAGTAGTAGAAGTTCTAAGCAGCAGCAACTCTTGACAGCACACCACCAGCAACAACATAAGAAGAAATCCAATTGATTGCCTAAGAAGATCAATTTGAAACCACCAGCACATTTTCCACAGATCTTTCCTGAAATTTGTGAACAGTTCTTCTTGTATTGGCAATATTGGTTTGGAATTGAGTTCAATGTGTTTTTTGTGACTTGTTCGAGTTTGATGGGTACTTTTGATTCTGGTCGACATCAAAATTTAGCTGTTGCTGTGGTGTTTTTGAGTCTCCTTCTTCAAGGACCATCTTTATACATCAAACAAAATATCAATCAATGTTGATACTTTCACAATCCTGCTGGTACCCATTTTTCAGTTTGACAGACTTGAATGTAGTACTACACCAACAAATGACTCTATGATTTGTTTTTGATTTTAAAACATCCATGTTGTCATCAATTATGACAGGTCTATCAACATGCAATTTGAGCACTGGATTTATCCTTTTGGAAGGTTTGCATGTGGCAGTTGCTAGTAAGCAGTATTTCTGAAAATATGGAATGTCTCTCCTGTATTTTCTTGTTTTGTAATTCTACAGTTTTAGGTTGAAGGCCTTCATTCTTACAATACTAGTACTACTAGTGTGATCTGATGATCTGTCATTTTTTCATTTTTGAAAGCGTCATTTTGAGAAACTCAGAAAATATGCCATCATTTATTGCACTCTTATCTGTATTAATTTAGTACTAGTATGTTGTTGCATAAGCAATATCTGTAGGGAGTTTGTATGCCAACATTGCACCATAAACTGGTTGACCACCAAAAGTGAGAACAGCATTCTAAGTTTCCCTGCTACCATGTTTTGGTTATTCATGGACTGTGAATCTCGTGTTCAGTTTCATGCCAATATTGAAAAAACCAGTTGACCACCAAAAGTGAGAACAGTATTCTAAGTTTCCCTGCTACTGTATTTTTGTCAAAAACCTTGCAATCAGATGATTGACAGGATAGCAAAATTAACTCACAAAAGGAATTGTTAGGATGGAAGTGAATGTTATGTGAATTCACACCAAAGTTGAGCTCATGAAAGGCATTTCCACATTGGATGCAATGATGAGAGATGTTTTCACAATGTTGTCCAAGGGATACTCCTTCTGGAACATGTATCAGTTTAAGCAATAAAAAATGTGTTAATCGTAGAAGCCTACCAAGTTGTACAGAGCCTGAAGTCATTCTATTCAAACAGCTACTTCTCATTTATTGCTAATTCACCATCTTCACCATGCTGAGATTGATAACTTACTTTACAATCAGAGCACCTATGAACACAAGAAGGGTGCCGTTACAAAGTTCTTTGTCTGCTTAATAAGGTCCTTGAATGTCATTTGTGTTGCTTCTAATCTCACATAGCTACTACTATATTATTGAATAGGGAAAAATAGCCCAAATTTGTTAATTTTCAGCACTTCTCATGGGGACAGCTGTATCTTTATAACCAAGTGTTGGATCTTTATGGGAATTGGATAAGTGGAAAGAGCACTATTGAATTAGTACACCCACTTGTTGGCTTTGTCTACTAAGGAGTTGTATTTGGTGCCAAATAAGAAGTTTTCAAAACAGGGCCTATGGAGCAAGGAATTTTGTAAGAACAGCAACACACCATGGCTATAAGGAGAGCTCCCCAGGCCAGACTGAGTAGCCGAATTGAAAAAGCACTATTGGATTGAGGGGTACAGAGCAAAGAACCACCATGAGGTGACTTTTGGTTGAGAAGTTGTGTGCAAGACACTGCAAGGGATAGGTGCAACTAATGGTGCAATTGAAGTAACTACTAGCAACATCAAAATCCATAGGAAGGAGTTCATCCTGGGTCAGACTGAGTAGCCGAGTCGATAGAGCACTATCAGATTGAGGGTTACAGAGCAAAGAACCACCATCAGGCGACTTTTGGTTGAGAAGTTATGTCCAAGAGATGGGAGGGGTTAGGGACAACAAACTGTGCAATTGAAGTAACTACTAGCAACGTCATGAACGACTCATATAAGGAGAGCTCCCTGGGCTAATCTGAGTAGCTGAATCTAAAGAGTATTATCAGATTAAGGGGTGCAGAGCAAAGAACTACCACCACCAGGCAACTTTTGGTTGAGAAGTTACGGGAAAGGCAAGTTTAGGCTTCTGCAGTGGATGGAATGGAACCAAATCACAAGCGATGTCCAAAATGATAGGAAGGAGTGCTCCCTGGGCTAAACTGAGTAGCTGAATTGGAAGAGCACTATCAGATTGAGGGGTACAGAGCAAAGAACCACCGCCTGGGCCCTCCGGTACCCACACACACATCCCCCTTTTGGGATTCCTCCCCTAGTAGAAAAATGTGGGTCATTTTTGGTGAAAAATATCCCACATTTTAGAATCATGGGTTATTTCATGGGAAGAATAACCCATGTTTCTAAAATGTGTTTTTTTAATTTGAAAAATAACCCACAAAAGAACCCAGGAATCCACAAATAACCCACAAATTTACAGTCATCTGGGTTGATGGAGAACCAAGGATGTTAAGTATTTTAGTCAATAATGTTATTTAATCACTGTTTTTAATTTTTGAAAATTGGCCCAGCAAATTTGTGGGTTAATTTGTGCAGTGGGTTATTTCATGGGTTATTTCACGGGTTATTTCATGGGTTATTTCATGGGTGATTTCATGGGTGATTTCATGGGTTGTTCGTGGGTTAACCCAGGAACACAGGAACCCACGTTTTAAAACATGGGTTATTTTTGTGAAAAATAACCCACGTTTTAGAATCATGGGTTATTACATGAGAAAAATAACCCACGTTTTAGAAACGTGGGTTATGGACGCGCGCGCGTTGGTTCCGGAGGGCCCTTTTACTCGTACGTAGCTTTTCATGATTTATGATCTAGAGCTACTAAGTACAATTCCCATAATGGCAAGCTATTGGCAATTTCCCGACTATCAATTTTTTTTATTTTCCCGTCTTTTTTTTTCCCTCTCCCCCTCCTCCACGAAAAAAARTWCAAGTCCGAAAATATTTCTATACTTGATACTTACTACTGAGAATATCAAATCAGTGCTTATCTCAAGTATTAAGGACCACCAATAGAAATATTTTGGGACCAGCGAGAAATTAAACAATGGAAATATTTTTATTTTCGTCCTTTGGATGCCATTTTTAACTGGATTTAACTGTAAAAATGAGCTAAAAATTTCTATTAGTATTTGTACGGGGATTGCCAATAGCTTGCCATTATGGGAATTGTACTTAGTAGCTCTATTATGATCGATAGATCGTTTCTTCATGATTTTTGAATTTTAAATTATTTTTTACAACCAAGAAAACCAAGAACGTACCTAAACTACCGGTACGTAATCGTAACCGTTACTTTACTTCGTACTTTGTACGCGCAGAACTAAATGGGTCATTCCMGTAAACACAGATCTATGTAATATTGAATTAGGCTTCAGTCGTGCACACATAGAAGTATGTGTTTTTGACACAAATACATAGATTTTTGGTCCGGGCARGCTCACGCTAACCAAAAAGTATGCACACACATAGATTTATGTAGGAATCCTCGATTCAAAAATTCATCAGTCACGGGCAACTGACAGCCAGTTCTCAAGTGTCAACGAGCGCCGGGGGAGCCCAAAATGGTGCGCCAAAACAAATCTAAAGTGTCACACGACTGCTGTGTCAGTGTCACAAAATCAAAAAGCGCGCCAAAACAAATCTAAAGTGTCAACATGATGGGGTTGGTTGGGTTTAAGATCGGTTGAAAAGATAGCTGAAGCAGCATCAAAAGGGTATCGATGCTTGCTGACAGAATTTTTGGAACATTAGTACTGAAAAGGAACATCGACGCGCTACCCCGACAATGTCACTAGAATTCATCATCCTTTGTGTGGCTCTCCACAATGAGCTGGATAAAGAACAGTCTCCAGGAGAGGAAAGGCGCAGAAGGGATAGGAGGACGCCACGGATTGCAATCAGGAGATGGAATCAGTCCCCGTTCCTCCACTTGTATAGTTCTGGCAATGAGCAAGCCCTCCTGAACTGTTGTGGTGTGGATCATGCTGTCTTCAGAGGTCTCATGGAACTCTTTGCACCAGTATTCAACATGTACATGGTTGATGAGGCAACAGGGAAGATTAGAATGAGAAGCTTCCACAGGAATGGAATGCCAAAGGGACGCTTCAGGGAGGCAAACGCGACATGCTGCCTTGGGTTAACACTGCACTGGTTCAGGACCCGTGGTTCAGTAGCAAGAGGGCTGTCGATGGCCTTTGGTCTCACATCAACAGTGTTGTACAAGTGGATCAAGTTTTCCAGGTGTGTCCTCCTCTATGTCTTGCAAGACAATCCAGACGCAAGGATCCAGGCTCCTGCCAGAGAGGATATCGATGCTTATGTTGCTGCAATTGGGGAGAAATACCCTCTACTTGGAGAGCAAAGGGTGTGGGGAGCTGCAGATGGCCTCAAGCTTGGACTGCAGACCTCAGGCAACTGGGCAGTACAGAACATGTACTACAACGGATGGACATCTGATACGTACGTCAACAGTCTCTTTGTCTTTGCTCCTGATGGCAAAATTAGAGCAACAACATTCAACTGTCCTGGGTCTTGGCATGACAGCACCATGTCAGAGTATGGAGTCTACAGGAAGATGGAGGACATGTACATCTTGTATGATGCTAAAGTAGTGGTTGATTCAGCATTCCAAATGGCCGACAGACCATACCTTGTAAGGAGTTCACAACAGGATCCCGACCTTCACGCTGTAGGTCCGA